GGTGTCACTGGATCTTATTATTTGTTGTTTAACTTGTGGAAATGTTTGCAGCGTTATTATTTGCAAATCGATTTGACGATTTTTACTATCAAGCGGTTTTTTATGCATTCTGCATTGTTTGAATGATTTTAGCGTTTTAACTAAATCGATATTCATGTTGCATCTTATATGTTTTATATAATTTCATCACTTCTGACGTCAAATAACTTTTCTTAACCTTAAATTATTTGTTGTCCAATGATTCCTCCTTGAAATTTCTTTCACGTTAATTGCTTCTATAATTGTTTGATATTTCCAGTCAGCGCCCTTAGCCAACTTTCGTGTTGTGCTGATACATGTGTGAATTATTCCTATTGTTGGAAAGTTTTTGGCTGAAAGAGATGCTGCTGTGCACTATTACATTTACGTGTATTAAAAATCATGAGCTACTACTATTGTTCCTTTACCAGCGTAATGATTATCCAAGAATTCATTATTCGGCCATGAGACTCATCTGAATGAGCGTTCCACTTGCTTTTGCTTCTCTATGGCGATACAGTATTTTAACAGATCTAAAGCTCTGTCCTGAATAATAACCTACCTTATTACGTTAGAAACCAAAACGTCTTCGATGGGCAACCTCGGAGCTTCCAAAATTATTTCCTCTTCCAGTTGAATTATATTTGTGTAAACTGAAATATTTTTAGCGTGAATGAGTTGATGTGCGTGAGTTTGGGATAAGTGCTCGGGCCTCCAACCTTCAGTATTTATCGTCTCGTCGAGCTCAGCGAACAATGAACGAAGGACAATGACACGTTTGCTCAATGTCTGCCTGCAAATAAACCTACTATTATGATTTTTACATCACACCTTAATCTTCTGGCGGTAATGCTTTTAAATGTAAAGTGTGTTTCAGCTACCAGTGTATTGAATTCTGTAACACTGCATGCAGTTCAATTATCATACGGTTTTTGTTTGTATTTGTGTCGAGGTTTATGTCGAGCGTTTAATCAATCATGATTCTTATGATTCCCGATAAGTTTGACAGACCGTGTATTCTGCAAGCATACAATTAATTTCCCTGACCGCATTCATCAAAAGGTTGTGCTAGCATGCTCGATTGTTGGGCAGTCTCCAGCTGACGCGTGTCCATAGTTCCAGCGTTTGGCTTTGACTAACTTTTGTCAAATTATTTCCTGATCACAAATGATCATTTGAATAAGGATTTTTCAGCTGCTTTGATAACTATACCTCACTAATATGCCAATCTCGATTTTTCCAATTGAAATTTTCCTTTGTTGCTCATTTGTTATTATAAGATCGTGCTCACTCGAGCGCTCGTAGTTTTCAAATGTCACGAGGTCGATCGTATCGCCGCCTGCAAACTTGCATTTCAAAAAATCGTCCATAGAATTAGCATAATTAAAATGAAATTTGAAAAGTCGTTGGTGACTGAGCTAACTTTGGAATACTTTCATCCTCTCTTCCGTTTTGATAAATTAATGGGAATGGGATTTACCTATTATATAATTTTTGCAGTAAATTTATTGAGGTTACATTTTATTTATTCTTCTATCTTCGCGCGAACACGGTATAACGCAAAATAACCATGTATCGGTTCTTACATATGCATTGCAGTATTATTATTTTCATTTTAGATTTAACACGTTTGCACTAAATCTCATTTTTTTTGTTCATCATGAACTGAATTATCACTGTAGGTGCGCAGCCTAGTCCCCAACGCGGCGCCTCTAAAAGAGAACGCCCACCTGACGGAGGGCGACATGGGCGGCGCCCTGACGCGTCCGGGGTACAGCAGCATCTCTGAAGACGGTCACCTCAACGCGGGTAGGTGGTGGTCATCACGTCTTGAACATTCTACAGTGGTAGAATTTTGAATAGAGATTTAGATCAAAATGGGTTTCCTCTACGGGATAAACACTGAGAGAAGTGCAAATGAATTAAATATTTACGATATGTTGATCCTATTATCGAGAATTTCTTACCGGTGACCTTATATTGTATTGAACATGAATTTTTGATGAAAATTTAAATAAAAAGTCTAGGTCGTGATAATGATGACGGGAGGTTACTGCCTCTCACCCTCTAGGACAAGCCCGTTGGGTTCGAGGCAGATACCCCTTCCCTGTAAGGAAGGAGCATCGGGGTATGGGGAGGGGGGGGGGCGAAAACAAGTATATGATGGGTGTGCAGTCTTGTGGTCTTGTGTACAAAATAAGAGTAGAAGCATAAGCGTAAGAAGTTAAGTCACTAGTGACTAGTGACAAGCACTCACGGTGAGAAGGCGGCTATATATTTTGTAGCAGCCATTTATTTTAGTTATATAAATGACTTAGTTCATTTCATAGTTATATTTTAGTTATATAGAGCGTTACTTCATAGTTTTACTGAATGTCAATGTTATCATGACTAGTACGTCGTCACATCATTGTTATCTGTACCGCAAATGTCGGTCCCAGGGGAAGATGGCGTGCGCAGACGACACGCTTCACAAACGTCGGCACGGTCGGGACAGAGCCGCGCTGTGGCCGTACCGCCCGACGTGGGCCTCCAGCCGCCGGTGCCGGCGCTGCAGCGGGGCAGCCTCCACATCATCGACCAGACTTTCGAGGTGCGATGCGTTTTTTAATCACGGTTCCAACTTCTGTCAGATGCTGTGTATTTGTGAGAGCGATTATTCTGCTTTATTTAGTGCCCAACTTCTGTCAGATTTCAGATCTCAGATGCTTTAGATTTCAGAAAACTATTGTTCAGCTGTTCAATTGTCATTCAAAGTGTGCGTTTGATTGCTCAATGATAGAAGATTCGGTTTGTTGGCAGCTGAGATTGGCATCTAAAACATTCATGGATTTATCTCTTTGCTTATCGCTCAGATTGACTTTATTTGTGCTTCAATCTCTTGAAATCTTGTCTGATTTCCATTTAAATATAATGCACTGAATCTGTTTTTGTGCATTTTTTTGTAAAATGTTTCTTCGTATCCTTTGACTAACAATTAATGCCACAGAAATGTCGCGTTGTTCTGGATTGGCTTTTCTAAAGCCTGGACTACGAGTCTACGACACGTGTCCTAACGAGCAATTAAGTGACGATGTTACAGAGCCTGGACTACGTACGACACGTGTCCTAACGAGCAATTAAGTGACGATGCTACAGAGCCTGGACTACGACACGTGTCCTAACGCGCAATTAAGTGACGATGTTACAGAGTCTGGACTACGACACGTGTCCTAACGAGCAATTAAGTGACGATGTTACAGAGCCTGGACTACGACACGTGTCCTAACGACACCTGCTCCGTGCTGGGGGGGCTGCTCGTCGGCAAGGTCTTGACATTGTATATTTATACTGTATATTTATATTGTATATTTAGATTGTAAACTCTAATGAAGTTAAGAGATTATATGGCGGTGTTTACATTGTATACTCTAATGATCTTAAGGGATTATCTGACGGTGTTTACATTGTAAACTCTAATGATCTTAATGGATTTATATGGCGGTGTTTACATTGTAAACTCTAATGATCTTAATGGATTATATGGCGGTGTTTACATTGTAAACTCTAATGATCTTAATGGATTTATATGGCGGTGTTTAAATTATAAACTCTAATGATCTTAATGGATTATCTGACAGTTTAAGTTAGGTATGTATCAAAAGTGATTCAGTAGCTAAGATGAATCCGGGACCATGAATTTTTATGATAAAATGAAAGATTGGTGAATGAATAATAATTAAAAGCTAAGGCGTATGATAATGATAACACCTGTTAATAAAAGGCTGATTGTATCTTAATGATTGTAATCTGACTGATGTCCTGGTTTAGTTGAAATTGTGGAAATCTCAGCTGGCGGCAGGATTGCCAATCAAATTACAGATTATTCGTAGGTACTTCGTATAATTATAAAGGATACTTCACAAGGATGTTCAGTTTTTCACACGAATTCAACGCCAGCTATACTGAGACGTTTATTTAGAATGTTCCAACATTTTCCCGTTAATTCTACTTTATCAAGTGTTATTTATTTTCTTACAGTTTGAGATCCTTGCATCACAGCTCGCCTCTTCTAATAGGGGCGTTTTCTGTTATAAATATGAGTTTGTAATATCTTTCACTGTAGGCGCGCTGTAACGCAGTGTTTAGGTCCACCGTGCGCAGTGATAGCGGCGTCGAGATGAAAGTAGGTCGTGGGTTCGAGCCTCGGGTAACTCAGTTAATTTCTTGGTGTCGCTGGTGTGGACACTTGGTAGACGTTGATGGGTGGTGTCTCAGCATGACCTTGGGTGTATTCCCTAAACGAACTTAGGGTACCTACTTGTTAAGGTCTTACCTTAAGGTCTTATAAGGTAATAATTCTTTCATTTTTATTGACTGTTGCTGTGTTGTTTGTCCTGTTGCCGGTCTACCAGAGAAATATCATGCATCACTCAAGCTCGACGATGATCGTTCGGAGTAGATATTTCTCAGCATCTCTTTAAGTATTGTCATTTTTTCTGACCTATAAGTTTCGAATATTAATTGTTTAATTTGTATTTCAGTGATAATAGCAAATGCAAGTAATGATTAGAATTGAACCTTATATAGAACTTCACCTAGTTCACGTATAACGGAGAAACAGTAACATTTATATCCAGCCACGCCGGATTTTTTGTCTATTATTCTTTGATTTTATTTAAAAAAACAATTCATGTACCGGCCCACGCATCACGGTCTGACGATTATGGTACAAGATGCTTCATTGTTGATATGGTAATGCTTCCACATTATCATATCAAGGCTCTGCAAATACATATTAGAATATGTGCGTTTGAATGCTCTATGGTAGAAGATTCGGGTTGTTGGCAGCTGAGATTCCCATCTAAAACATTCACGGATTTCCCTCATTGGCAAGAATTAATTAATTGCCTGTATTTTATGGACATGAGCCGTATAATACAAATAATAATTGAGTCGTACCATGAAGAATGTCTGGACGTTCCTTAACTGTAAATACAGTCATGGCTGGCAGCTTCAGCGTAGCTCTGGTGATGCTGGTGTGGGTGGCTCTCAACATCGCACTAGTGTTGCCTGCTGCCTTCGTAGGCTCTTATGTCGAGGTCAGTCTCTGTTCAAATCTTATTCTTCTGTTGAAATTGTCATAGCGTAAACTTGAATGCTATTTTTAATATCATGTGGTGCCTTTCTTCTGTTCAGTTTTTATCTGGAATGGGAAACTCCAGCTAAAACTAATCCCTCATAATTCATTTTAATTGAGATCCTGGAATCTGAAGAAAGCAGCGATTAAAAGCACACTTTAAAAAGTAAACTTTCTGAATTCCGAAAAAAAAACTTCTTTAAACTCGCGCCAATCTGCTGCGGTCGTCTCATAAACTTAATTAGTACTCAGGACTAAATCAATATCCTCTATAATCCATTTATTTTCTTAACAATGTTTGCTTTCAACGTTTTGACTACGGATAAATTTGTCTTCGTCTATGCTATTAGCATCGAAATGTTTGTCTAGTAACTAGAGATTCCGTAAATAGCTCAGCCTAGTACAGTGTTCGATAATAAGTGATCAGTAGTCATACCGGTTCAATTATGTTATGAATAAATTTATAATTAAGGGACAATTATTATTACATTTGTAATCTGCGATAATGAATGTATTATGTAATATGTTTGTAACGCAGCCGGTAGCAGCAGGCAGCGGGATCCCGCAGGTGAAGTGCTACCTGAACGGCGTGAAGGTGCCGCGCGTGGTGCGCTTCAAGACGCTCGTCTGTAAGGCCGTCGGCGTCACCTGCTCCGTGCTGGGGGGGCTGCTCGTCGGCAAGGTCTTGACATTGTATATTTATACTGTATATTTATATTGTAAATACTTCACAAGGATGTTCAGTTTTTCACACGAATTCAACGCCAGCTATACTGAGACGTTTATTTAGAATGTTCCAACATTTTCCCGTTAATTCTAGTTCATATGTTTTTTGTTACTGGTACGTATGCATTGTTACACATTATATTGTTCTTTGGTGCTTTTATGTCTCTCAATGATGAGGAAGCTAGGTAATAGGAACCTGAATTTGCACGTACCTTCAATTAAATCTCGTTGCGCACCGAGCCAGCATTGCTTCCCATAGTTATGAAGATTATTTTTACTAATCATATTAATGATGTAATATTTCTAATCATATTAATGATGTAATTCTTGCATGTATCAAACATACTCACACTGCAAGGATTCAGTGAGTATTTCATAATAAATTCTACGTGCTGGTAAATTCTTCTTGCTGATTAATTCTTCATGCTGATAAATTCTCTGTGCTGATGAATTCTTCGTTAAAAAAATCTTGGTTTGCGCAGGAAGGTCCCATGATTCACTCGGGCGCTGTGATCGGCGCTGGAGTCTCGCAGGGCAAGAGCACAACCTTCAACCGCGACCTCAACTTCTTCCAAACGTGAGCACAATTGCCTTCAGAAATAGAGCTGAGACTGTCCAGTTCCTTGTCTTGCAAGAAACTGCTCCTGTTATTAAAAATACTTTGAACTTTTGAGGTAGCGTGCAGAGTATGGTAAACTGTCAACTATGTATGCGGTAGAATTCATGTGGTAGAATTCAGCTGGAAAGGAAAAGGGGATTATAGTTTATTTGTGAAGGTAATTTGCTTGATCGTCAGACTGTTTTGTTGGCTTCTTGAATTTTCGCAGTTTGAAACTGCGAATTTGGGCTATTTCGTTATTAATAACTGGCTTATTAGTTTTTGTTAGCATTTTTTTCTGTGTTTCATAGCCTCGCGTCGCAAATATATTGCGGCAGTTCAGGCGCGTATCTGCGATACATATCGTCTTCGTTAAAAAAAAACCAAACCCACCTGCACCAAACAATTATTGCAAAACATTGTTGCAAATCGGGAAGAAAAGGATTCGATCAAAAAATAAAATGGTTTTCGAAAAAGAATGAATTTGGAGCACTTTGTAACTGATTCAAGTGGTCATACGTTCTGAATTGTGAGTTTAAACCGGTCTTTCTTTGATCAACATGCATAATTTTATTATTAAATATATTCGAGTACCTAACGGAATTACAAAATTACAGGATTTATCGCTACCCGACAACGCTGGGCTAACCTGCTAGTAAATTATATGGTTACAGTTTGATATCTACTAAATTCCTGCCTGTGCTTTGCTTCAATTTTTACAGAAATATTTTATTATCATCGTATGCACTCAATAATCGAATTTTTTTCCGTAAAATCTCGCAGGTTCCGCGAGGATCACGAGAAACGTGACTTCGTGGCCTGCGGTGCGGCGGCCGGCGTGTCGGCGGCGTTCGGAGCGCCTATTGGTCAGTGCTTAGTGGTCTATTGAGGGTCTATTGGTCAGTGCTTAGTGGTCTATTGAGGGTCTATTGGTCAGTGCTTAATGGTCAATCGTTCAGCTAATCGTTTAATTGTTCGTTCCTCAAATCTGAGACGTATAATAGAAGCGACCTTTGCTGTGGCCTCAGTCGAGCGTACTCGCAAAGCGCGTCGCTACAGCGCGTAAAATTTTTAGCCAAAATTTCCTATCGTCAGATGAATGACGGAAATTTATAGAATGAGGAATATAAATAGATAGAATATAAATTAGAATAGAAATAGATTTATTGAGAACTTGTGAACGGATATTTTCGATCGAAGGCGTCCACTCTGTAAATCATTCAGGCAATAAATTGAAATAATTGAAAAAAAATCTGAACTGAATATTCATAACAATCACTGCAAAAGAAGTGAGAAATGAACGGAGTTAACGCGTTCATTTTTTGCGAACTAACAAGTTACTTGTGCCTACGTGATGAACGCCTTCATTTCATTCCCCAAGAATGAATTTAAAATTGGGAGTTAATCAATCGACCTTCACAAACTTTGAAGACAGTTCATGAGTTATGAATTAAATTTATGTGACCCTGACACCGAGTGTTTTTATTTTTAATTTCGCTAATAGAGCATATGATGCCGGTCAACCGAGTGTTTTTATTTTCAATTTCATTAATTTTGAAATTTCAATTTCACAATTAGTGAAATTTCAATTTCACAATTGACTACCCCGTCCATGATGCGACAGGTGGGGTGCTGTTCGCGCTGGAGGAAGGCGCCAGCTTCTGGCAGCTGAGGCTCACCTGGAACAGCTTCGTCGCTGCCGGCGTCTCCACGGCCGTTGTCAATATTATGCTTTCAGTCGTCTACAGCACGCCACGTTAGTCAAGCTTTCTTCTTAATTTGAAATAGAAAATCATAAAAATAATAAAATGCAAATTGTTACGTTGCCTTTTATCTGGGTATATAATATATAGCCAGAGAAAATATTATGCTCTCAGTCGTGTACAGCACGCCACGTTAGTCAACCTTTCTTCTTAATTTAGAAAATGGAAAATCATTCAAATAAAGAAATACAAATTGTTACGTTGCTTTTTCTGTGGATATAATATTTAGATGTGATATCCCGGAATATATCATGACACGAAATACATTTAATTGCCTCATTTCGTTAGTGATTGTCATTTACTGCATAGAGTGTCTACGAGATAAGGCGTTTACTATTACTATTATTTTTAGTAATATTATACTATTTTATTGTTTATTGTTGATAATTAATAGTATAATATTTATTAATATTGAAACAACAGGCGTCTCACTGTGCTCAGGATGAGGCGAGTGGCCACGAGATAACGTGTTTACTATTACTATTATTTTTTAGTAATATTAAACTATTTTATTTTTTATTATTAATAATTAAAGTATACTATTTATTAATATTAAAATGCATCAACAGACGCCTCACCGTGCTCAGGATGAGGCGAGTGGCAACGAGATAACGTCTTTACTATTATTATTTTTTAGTAATAATAACTATGTTATTGTTTATTATTAATAATTAATAGTATAATATATATTAATATTGAAATGCATCAACCAGCGTCTCACTGTGCTCAGGATGAGGCGAGTGTCAACGAGATAACGCGTTTGCTGTTATTTGGGCGGTGGTATGCTAAATTAAACTGAACTTTTCAGGTTTTATTCAATCAATTAGCATGAACGTTTTAGAAGGAATTTAATCAATTAAAAAGAATCATACAAAATCTCTGCTACTCGCCATCTTGACGCACCAAACTAGGCGTCTGACGTCGAAAAAAACGCGTGAGAAAACTTTTTTTATTGCCAAATCAACTCGCAATCTGGGTATTTTTCAAGGTAATTTTCCTGGAGGGTATTATCTGCACATGGTTTTTGAGTTACTGTTACATTACATTCAGTTACATTTGATTCGCAATCTACTTGACATATTCGTGCAGTTGCATACTTATTCTCATTTGTATCCAAGACACACAAAGAAGAAGTTTGTTTGTTGAAGTACTGACTGCAGTGGCGTTGAAGTACCGTACTTGTACTAACTGCAAGATTTCAGAACAACAATATAACAATAATTTAGTCAACGTTGATATCATCCTCCCCCAGGTACGTACAGAAGTGGTGGCAGAAGATCCTGGAAGTTATGTTGGTGTCGTCGGTGACGGCGGTGGCCGCCTGTACGTTGGTCTACGCGTACCCGGACTGCAAGCCGCTGTCTGAGAACGTCACCCACCCCTTCCCTGTCAATGTTAGTCTCTACTGCTTACTATGTGCAGACATTCTCTTAATTTTTGTCTTTTTCTCTGATTTATTGTCTTTCTATTTTCAATATAATTGAAATTACGAACGATGAAAAGTTCTATTATGAATATAGATATGGGAGAGGCTTATGAGAAGTGATGAAGGAATCGTTGGGTTGACTTCAATTTGTAAAAGGAATTAAGTGTATAATTTATTAAAATATAAATAAAAACATTTGAGAGAAACTTCAGTTGTGGTAAATGCAATTTTCGCAATTTAAATACTGGATTTTTTCATATTTTTATATCGATACCTGAAATCAGATACGACTTGAAAATTCTACAGTGTACCTAAAAATATGTCGAACTTGAAGCGAAACGTGGGCATCCATCGTCTTTACTCATCATAGAAACGTTATTTAACTCTATTGTAACGCAGTAAATGTGACATTATTATTTCAGGGAAGGATTATGCTTATTTTTACCGAGCTACTTCCATGTTTGATCTTATTGCATCATAAACAGGATCTGTTCCTCGTTAAAATTTCAGGATATCTTTGGAAATGTCACTTTGATGTAAGCGTGATGTGCTGACAGTGCTGATGATGTAAACGTGCTGATCATGTTAGAGTGCTGATGACGTTGGCGTGCTGATGATGTCAGCGTGATGTACTGGCAATGCTGATGATGTCAGCGTGATGTACTGGCAATGCTGATGATGTCAGCGTGATGTACTGGCAATGCTGATGATGTCAGCGTGATGTACTGGCAATGCTGATGATGTCAGCGTGATGTACTGGCAATGCTGATGATGTCAGCGTGATGTACTGGCAATGCTGATGATGTCAGCGTGATGTACTGGCAATGCNCTGGCGAGTACAGCATGACAGCTCGCCTCTTTCTAGCCACACCGGAGAGCTCGCTGGTTATGTTGTTTCATGATCCCATCGGTGAGATTTTCATTACACTACCGTATTTTCTTCAATAAATTCTAGTACGCTATGTAGGGTGAAAATTTTCTGATCTGAAATTTTCCCTATCTGAAAAAAGGGTTGATAATGCATATTTATTTTAGTCCTGTTTAATAATATTTTTTAAATGTCCGTTAAATTTTATTTATATTGTCTATGCGTTGTGCGCTCATATTTACACAATAAGTGGCCGGCTAAATTATTGGAGTTTCACTAATTTTCCATGTATTTCTGGCTGACTTCAGTGACCGCATGTGTCCAAGCTGCAAGTTGTGATGTTGATCATAATCAAATATTGCTCGTGCATTGATGAATTTCATTTAATGCATTTGTATTAAATGCATTAAATTGTATTAAAGTATTGATGCACTTCATCATGACGTATCATCATGTTCCATCACTTGACAGGAACGTACCAAGTGCTCACTCTAGTCGTACACTTCATCATGACGTCGCTGATCGCGTGCTACACGTACGGGCTGGGGGTTCCTTCAGGGCTGTTCATCCCGTCACTCCTGAACGGCGCCTCCTTCGGCCGCCTCATCGGCGTCTTGATGAGCAAAATTTACCCCAATGTGAGAATCAAAATATTGTTGCTGGCAGAAAAAAAATATGACTTAAATAGAAAAAAATTGAATTGAAATCGAAAAAAATTGAATTGATGATAATCACTGTATTGATGCTTTACATTCAAAACGACGTGAAATCAAACTAGGGCCAAAGCTTATGCTTTACAAAGAATTTTTGAGTGAAGAGGAGTTAGCAACGCTATGTGGGGCAAGCTTGTGGGGCAAGCTACCTGATCGTTTGAGTAATTTTCACTCCATTGATAATTCTATTAAAAACCATGAAATCTTGAGTTCATGAAATCTCAAATGTCGATTTACTCCTTTATCGACTTATTTCTTCATTTTGAAAGAATTCTCCGTTTCCTAGCAATTAGTTATTCAAATAATTATTGTTTATCCTGTGTCGCATGTATGAGCTATTTACCTTTCGATCCATTATTAATGGCATGACAATCCTGAGACTATATTTGTTCTGTGTTATTTGCTGACGTTTCCTTACTTCTTCAGCACTACTAAGTAATAATAACTAACGAAACTGACGTTTCATTACTTCTACAGCACTATTAAGTAATAATAACTAATGAAACCGACTTTTCCTTACTTCTTCAGCACAATTAAGTAATACGTAATAAGTAATGAAACTGACGTTTCCTTACTTCTTTATCACTATTAATTATACACATGACGTATCATTTGTACCTTTACACACTATCACTGAAGCCTCCATGTCTTGCAGGCTACTAACTTCAGCGAAGGCAAGTACGCGCGGGCGGTTACGTTTTCTTACTTCTTCATCACTATTAATTACTCATGACGTATCATTTGTACCTGTCTTACAGGCTACGTATCATTAGTACGTGTACACACTAACTGAAACCTCCGTTGTTCGCAGGCTCCTAACTTCAGCGAAGGCAAGTATGCGCTGGCGGGCGCCTCTGCGTTCCTGGCGGGCGTGGTGCGCATGACGCTCAGCCTCGTCTGTATCCTCATGGAGAGCTGCGGCTCTGTCACCTTCACAGTCACGCTCATGTTCATCATCTTCGTCGCTAAATACGTCGGCGACAAATTCAATCATGTAAATACACCTGCATTTTTCTAATATTTAAGAATAACTGTCAACATCTAAACAAGTGATTAATTTATGGCTTGTAAAATCGAAGTTTCAATCGTGTAAGATTGGTTACCTTCGATCAATTAATCAACCTTTCTTGAGCCATTGAATTAATCAATTAATTGTTTGAGTATGGCATAGAAGCATCCGGGGTGTTTTCGGTTTCATCATTATACAAGCTTCTACTGATTACTGAACATGATTATTTATTTTATAACTCAAAAAGCAGTTGTAAAGGTACTATTTCAAGTGAAATATTGCAAAAGTTCTCATGCATCCAACACTGTGACGATTTATTTACTGAACGTATAATTGTTACAATTAAATGATGTCATCTGCTTATTTATTGGTCATGTTGACGATGTCTGGGCACAAGGCGATTGATGTTCGTTTGGTAGTTATTGTGAAACATCTGATTAATACATTAATTTGATTAATCCATACATCTGATTAATCCATTATCAATTCATGATGGATTATCTACTTGATAATTATCCTTGTCTTGTATGCAGGGTCTCTACGACGTGCACATCAGACTCAACGGCGTGCCATTCCTCGAGCCCAAGCCTGACCCACAACTCGAGACTCTCTTTGCTAAGCAGGTAAATATACTTCAGTGACCCGTACTTATGTTTTGCTAAGCAGGTAAATATATTTCAGTGACCCGTACTTACGTTTTGCTAAGCAGGTAAATATAATTCAGTGACCCGTACTTATGTTTTGCTAAGCAGGTAAATATATTTCAGTGACCCGTACTTATGTTTTGCTAAGCAGGTAAATACCTCAATGTCCCGTACGTGACCCAACTTTTTTTATTTTGAAAATTATTCCTTTGCCTTGGAAAATTCTGCAAATTTTTTTCAGTAAATAGTGAGAATACTTTACAATTTTTCTAATTTGTACAATTTATTCGCACGTTAGGCCGTGAGTTCTCCAGTAGTGTGCCTGCGGCCGGTGGAGTCGGTGCGTCGTCTACTGATCATATCACGATTGTGTACCTACAACGGATTCCCCGTCGTCTGGAACGACAAAGTCGCGCTCTACGGCTCCCAAGACCGCCCCGGCAGTGCATGCAGTCGGCGTTCAACTTCCCTCGTGGTGGATGCGGACGAAAGCTCCTACAAACATCAAGCCGCAGTCCAAATTGACCTCGAGCTCCCAAACTCATCCATGGACGAGACGGATGTCTTAGATGAAGTGCTGCGTGCTGATGCACATTATCTTAAACGTCATTATGAAAAGCTTAACGTTCGCCTCGGCCTCACCTCAGAAGAGGTAAGAAGCTCCTTGCTCACAGACAGCTGCATCAATCGCTTCTCTGAGCTTCCCTGTGACGATGAAGAGGAAGATGAGGACCACATGAGCTACGTGCCGGTCAGCCACGACGCGAACATGAGTGAGGGCTCAACAGGCGTCACGACTCCTGGCGCTGGCAGTATAGATCACGTGCAAAGAACACCTAATGGTACAAAATATTTATTGTGGAGTCTTTGAAATTGTATCTATGAGGTTTATGATATGGCTTTCATAAGTTGATATGTAATGGCTAAAAGAACATTGACATATACGGCAAATAACGCAGTGACTTGCATATAACGCGATTGCGTCGGCAGTGAAGATTCATTTACACTATCAAATAGTCAAAACAGCTTTATTAGTAAATAATAATGCTAAACATCGTGTTTTTTAATGTATCCCATTACTATAATTAAGAGGTTGTAACAAATTGTTTGCAGAGCGACACGTGCACTGGTACAACACGGAGTCTGCGCCGCAAGACCTCGACGCGCACGCCAAGCGGACGCTATACGAGGCACAGGGCATCCTGTGCGGCCTCGTGCTGCGCTCCCAGATTATGGTCATGCTTAAGAATAAGGTTAGTGATGAGTAGCTTATAAAAGTGCATAACTCTATTTCTTATGGTCATGCTCAAGAATAAGATCATTGATGAGTAACTCATTGAAGTGCATAACTGTATTTCTTAAGGTCATGTTTAAGAATAAGGTTCGTGTCAGCGATGATTAACTAATAAAAGTGCATAACTGTATTTCTTGTCTATGTTTTGTTCATCTTAAGGAGGCGATCTCCGCGGCGGGAGGAATTATGTATGAGAGGAAGTTTTATTTATTTTTCTAAGCACGAGCCTCATCCTCTTTCTTGTCCAAGTATCTGCGAGAAGTCTTCAGTTGTTGTGCACTTAATTATTATATATTTTGAACTTCGTCACGACTGTTTTAATTGCTTCATTAATTACTTCTTAGTACATTCCCAGTTCTCTTGTAAGGCGTTTCTAAGTAAAGATAATAATTACAGAACTTCTCTCTGTAACTCCAGTTTTTCCCGCGTTCAGATGTTCATTGAGAAGGAAGGATATCTAAACGACACTTTTAAGGACTTGCGTCTGTTTCGAGATGCATACCCAAGATTTTATGACTTGGAGGCCGTGGACTTAACTCCCGAGGATCTGGACTGTCATGTGGACTTTCGTCCGTACATGAACCCCGCCCCCCATACAGTCTCTACCCGCATGAACTTCACGAGGGTCTTCGAGAGCTTCAGGTCTCTGGGACTGAGACACCAAGTTATGGTCAACAACCGGTGAGTATGTGTAGTTCTCCATCATAATTTCTATGATTTATATATTAGACGTTGATAACAAAGACTTCAATTTAGCACGTCTTTGAGTGCTGTTACTACATACATTATAATGAGGGACGCTCCGTCTTATTATTGTCATAATTCCCACTGTCGCACTGCGTTGTAATAATAGGCTTTGCATACAATATTTTTTATGGATGCCTGGGCTGTTTATTTATGAACACTCATTAGGTTTTTATGAATAAAATATTTGTAAACACCCATCGTGGACCCTATAAATTAACCATTTTAATCAATGATGCTCTCTGTTTTCGTTCAATGTACACTCTTTGCCGGTCCGCTACAATTATACTTGTTATTTTTTCCATGATTTGTATAAAGGAAATTTTGTAAGCTTAACTTCTTCTTCAGAGACTTAACTTAAAAAACTAACTAGAAAATGCTACGTTAAGTATCGCAAATTTTTTTCAACTTCCGTAGACTTCAGCCTGCATTATTAACTCTTGTTTACATAAATTTAAAAGAAAGATTTAGGCTCCTCTGAACAACAGGTTCAGCTACAACAGGTTCCTACAGGGAAAATGTAAGTCAGGTTCCTACAGGGAACATGAAAGTCTTGTAAGTACGGCTGGAATAAACTTGATATTGTCGCAGGTACAACGTGGTGGGCATGATCACGAGGAAGGACCTCGTCAAGCTCTACACTAAGAAGACCAAGGATGGCATCAGCGTCCTAAGAATGACAGTACACGAGCGTGCGTGATGGAGAAGATAAATCTACTGATGATGTTTAACGATCATTATTGGTGCCGTAAACATTATATAACTCATCTGTTAAAGATCTGGGTGTTAGATAATCAAAGATTAATATTAAATAATGTTGATTGATTAAGGTATCAAAACGCTCAGCAGTTGCCACTTGTTACATCGATGGGTCTCAATAGCGCTCTCCGTATTCTCGAGTCAGGCTATTGTTCAAGGCTGTTTATGTGAAGCCTTTTTTTAACGAATCTGAAGGAACCAAACTTTGAGTTTTCTCCAGGCCTTTGAGGTTTGTTCCATTCATTATTCTCATTTCTATGTTTTATGTATTATTATAATCTTTTACTCACCTTACTTAATGTTCTTTCTTTCATTGCTTGTTCAATATTGAGCGGCCGCTTCGAGGTGCCATTGAAGAACTACTTATTTGAGTGTTGCATTGTATTTCATTAGCATTGCACATTTCCCTTCTACGCAGACATTTTGAGGGATAATATACGAGAACCTAGTCACGCCATGCCGCATGAATGCTGTTTTTTTTTTCATTCGATGAATGTACATATCTTGGTATAAAGCGACAGAAATCTAATATTTAATTTTCGTGCCGAGTCATCCGAATTTCTTATGCGTCGGCTTTAATTTTGATAATTTTTTATATACATTTTCTTTCTATAACATAACTGTAGCCTTAAATTCGCCATTACCTTCCTTGAATCACTTTCAGACGCAGCTGCTAGTTACGTTAATGCAGTAAAGTTACTGCATATGCTGTCTCTCTATCAAGTACGTTATTTCGCATGTTATTCAACAGGCTAAGTAGACACCCAACGATCTAACTGTACTCAATTAAACTTCCATGTTTTCCATATTCTAAGGAGGTAAGCGTTTCTTTCGGCTGGAGATTACAGCCTTTTCTCTACGAGAAATCGAATTTAATTTTGTGCTATTGCTGCTTCGGCAATGAAACGGGAACAAACTCTAGCGATTACCGTATCAGACGTGTTGGTTATAAACCTAGTTTGTATTTTACAACATAATTATAAAGATTTCTACCGTTGTATTTCAACGAATTTTACCAAATAATGTTTTTGTAATTAGATTATGCATCTTGTTTTAGTTCTGTTGTTTTATCCTCGTCGTCTCTCATCGATTTCGCGAAACTGCACCAAAGTTGCGCTTTATTCCTTGCCTTGATATTCGTGTCGGAATTTTATTTTCCTGACAACAATTGTTGTCGTTCTGCGCTACGTGGTGAATCTGGATTACAAATGTGAATTCAAATTGAAAAGTTTAGTAAATTATTTACAATATGAATCTTTTTGACGGGTCCCACATCATCATTAAAGATTAATGAAGTGACCGTTATTTAGGTTGAAAAGTACGAACAATTTAAGTGACAGTTTTGCTCAATGATGCTTCAATGCCCAGGGCATTCATCATTCAGCTATTCTGTCGAACGTATGCCTTTTGTATTCAGGTACATTGTCTACTCTGATGCCTAAGCTAATAATGTATTGTCTGGTGCTAACGGCGATGCTACGACCGAGTCAAGCTTCAACGATCCTCGTGAATTTAGTACTAGTTTTGCTTAGTGCTGTGCTATTTATACTTGTTATAAAACACGAGTTTACTGCTAGTTTTGCTTATAGTCTTCCCTTCCATGATACACGATGTCATTTTGACGCCTCCTAGTGGTGCCAACCATCGCAGTGGATAAAGAGTTGCAACTCCCATAAGTACTGAACTGAAATGAACTTGAAAGTACTGAACTGAAATGAACAACTGAAATGAAGTTACGCAATTTCAGGTTGAGTCGTCTTGTTACAAGTCGTCTCGTATGCACCAAATATTGGTACATACGACTGCGTAAGACATTTGTAACTCGCGTCATCCTGCTTGGTGCTTCTTCCTACAGATATTCGAATGGATATCTCCAGGATAGATAAATAACTTTGTTCATGTCGTTATTGAATATTGATTCCTTCCGGTAAGTTGCTCGGTTCTGATATGTAACCGACACTCCGGCATCGGTTACACATCCAAACAAACTGATTCCACTCAAGTGATATTGACATTCATAGCTTAAGTGAGACAGAATTTTTTATTGCCATCCAACTGATTAGCTTTAGTCCCTTGTAGCTCATCCTCATCACTAGCCGCTTCTTGGGTTAAGTTATGTTTCCTTTTGGAAACAAGCTATAGATTTTTCCACTAAGGCCACACAATCATCCGGTTGTCTCTGGTTCTTGACTATGTAAATATTGTATCGTGCCTTAAGATTACGAGTTATACGGATTTTATCTAATATACTGCCATTATATTTTTTCATGAGTATTTATTTATATTTCCATGCTATCGTGAGAACTGTATTAATAAATAACTTTGAAATTTACGTTTTAATTCTCCTAATTTAAGTTTCAATTCTCCAGTGGCTGTTAAATGTTTGATAAGTTTAGTGCCTAGCGACGCAGCTTCCGTTGCTGGAGATGAGACTGTTGGTCCGTATCAATTGATTTTTTGCTAGCTTCCATTACCTTGAACTGCCTTACATTGCCTGTCTCACTGTTACTATCATGGTTGAACTGAAATGCGTTCTCTTTATATAAATTTTAACTTGTTTTGTGCGATATCTGAATGCGGTCAAGGCTGCACTTGATTATCGATTAAATTGAAAATGTGTTTAGTCGTCAAAATTCAAGTGTTGAAATTATCATGTTTGGTGTTGAATTTCGTTAGTGATTTCTAATTATTAGTGGTCAGCCTCCCCGATGACATCGTTGGCGCTCCAAGTATGAACGCGTTCAAGAACAGACTAGATAAAGCTATGGAAAAATATATGTTCAGATTTGAAATGCCTAGCTCCTTATCGAACACGGTGGAAATCTGGTAGCTACTTCAAACTATCGTCAGTCATGAAGAGATCCGGTCAAATGATACGAGTTTAGATCTTCTGTGAACAAGGCACGAAAAGGAAAAGAATCGGCGATCTTGTATGAGCCTCTAAAATTGTTTGTTATTAAGACACAATATCTCTTCAAATGATTAATTGGTTACATTTTTCACTTAAAATAAATGAATTCTCTGTGCGGATAGAAAAATCGTCTGGATTTTAACATCCGATTATTTGTTTCTAATTAATTACTTTCAATTATGAATTATGACCAAGAGAAAAAATAGTGTTTGTAAGTTAAAACAATGAAGTTATTGATTGTTACGAAAAACACACACTTTTTCTCGCGAGAATGACCAAAAAAACACTAATTAGGATTGCGGTCCATATTTTATTACACGTTCACTTGTGCTGAGCGACTTTCAACACGAATTGTAAGAGTATTTATGAATTGGCAGCAGGTGACTTACAAGATGTCTGAAACTCTCATATATTTTCATGTTCTGGGTTGCATTGAAACGCTGTTGATCAGAAGCTTAGGCTACCAACATGATTACTTCAAACAACTCGTCCATATGTCTCGTTCATTTTTTCTATATTCGACCCTACCTTTTCTACCGAAGAGTCCAGGCATAAAGGTCAACTTTAATCATTATATTTTACGTAATCGAAAATCAATCGAAAAAAATTCTTGCGCTTAACAAACAGCACTATAAGATAATTCATTAAAGCCAAAGTTTTTTGATTAGGTACGTTTTTAAATTCTTCACTTTGGTAATTGTGATTAATTATAAGTCAAGCAAATAATTAGAATTCTGAAAAAATCATGGTTTGAAATTTGCCGCGGCGCCAGGCTTTTAGGCCTTTCTGCATGCTGATGTCCTTACTCCTCGCGTGTTACAATCTCGTCGCGGCAGCTCCCATCGTCTTCTATTTACGGGGGCCGGAAACCCTGCAATTAGGCCGGACAAACTGCGGCCGCTTTCCGCACGCCGATGGTCCTGATGCTCAATTAATTATAAGACAATCTGGAGTTCAGGAACACGGTCTTATAACACAATCTGGATTATATGACAGAACTTATGGCAATTACATAACAATTATAAGACAATCTGGAGTTCAGGAACACGGTCTTTGGATTGAAGACCCGAAATTCGGTGTGCGACTCTCATTATAATATAAATTTATAATATAAATGTGTAACAATAATAATATGTGTAATGTGTAATAATAAATAATAATATATTACACATTTATAATATAAATGTGTAAAATTAATTAGTATTTTCGTTAGATATCTCCACCATAATGCATGTAGGTTTTACGTAGGAAGTTTGAGTGTAATGTTAGTTAATAAATAAATTTGAATTGATGATTTTTCTATTAGAATTGTTTCAGAAACATTCATCAGGTCAAGTATGATGTACTATTTTTGATGCCTCTATCATTAACAAACATCACCATTATACTATAATTCGCTCTCTTCTTGTAACTGCAGCTTTTTTCTGGACTATAAATTCATCACTAATGTTTGGTGTGCTGCCGGTCATAACAATCGATTACGTACGAGTATCATTTTNGGACTATAAATTCATCACTAATGTTTGGTGTGCTGCCGGTCATAATAATCGATTCCTCCCGAGTATCATTTTCTTGATTATTTCCGCCGGCAAGATTTCTTGGTATCAAATTTTAACCTCTTTTAATTTCCGCTTGTTCTGGTAGCTCAGCGTAGGATTCATGAAATGTAGGCTTTCTTTCACGCTATCGCCATCTTTAATTACCGTCCTTCCGGGCGATATCCTGCGGCGCCTGCAGCACTGAAATTATTTAGCACCCGAAATTAATATTATGATGAACAAAATGATTTTATTTATCTTCGTAAGTAAAACAGATGAAAATCTTATAGTACTGTTTTTCTTTATTTCTAAGTGTGTATATTAACAGAGGACTGGGTCTATGTGCCTATACATTTCTTAAGTATTTTCTCTTTCTACAAGCTGCAAAAATCCATTTCCTAAACGTTCCGGGCTTAGGCAGTTCCTTGCACAATATTCATGAAATGTTTAAAGGCATTTATTTATAATTATCAAAAATTATTAATCAGCGCTCTTTATATAAGAAGTTTCATTCTAGCACTGATGATGATGCAAGGCTATGCAGTCCTATCAAGTTACTGAGTGAGCTCGCAACAACAGCAGTAAGGCCAGAAAGAATGACCGGCTCTTCTCACAAATAAGTGTTCATGCACCGCTATAATCTATATCAGCAATAGGGGACCATTGTTTCATCTCTTAAAATAGAGTCCAACTCAACAACCTATGTCAGTACTTAACACGGAAGAATGACCAATACCTCTTCTCTTGAAATAGAGTTCATCAAAATAATTTATGAAGGACCTTCAAACTGTTGATCGATCAAGAATTTTACCGCTAACCACATTCAAGGCTATATGCGACAACATTTCAGTTGAATGCATTGCATAAGATTGTCAGTGATGTCAAGCAAACACAAGTTCCGTTCATAAATACCTTAGCAGGTCTTTCCATTATATGCACATTATTTGAACAGAGTCGATCAACGTTCTGTCAATGACTTCATTCATTTTAACTGAGCTTTTTTTGTGCATTGAGTTGTCATAATCACTTAAGTTTTACAAAAAAAAATTAAATTCGATTACAATAAGTGGACGCCTCTAGTGTGAATCTTTGCCCGTGATAAGAATAAAGATTATTGAGTAATTGCTGTACATTTCAAAGCCTTTTGATTCCTGTAAGTACTTCATCCTGCTCAGCTGTAGCCTTTTGTCATAGCAAGCTTTATCTCACGTGAGCTAAATTCAAAATGCAATACGAAAACACGCACCCCTAATGCAAATTAGTTCGCATATGAAATTCACTGGAGGCTACCAGTGCAGCGGGATCCGCCTGTTGTCTACGAAGCTGTAGAGGTAAATGAGCCTCATTGCCTTACAAAAGACACGTGATCCTCGTGTTTTTATGTTGTTACTACGACGCCAAGAGCATCAAGTCGTCACATAATGCAGCCTCGATGTGGGTCACCGCCGACAATCATGAATATCTTGTCGCTTGTTCCTACACTGCATGAAGGGTGGAAGGTCGGCAACCGCATAACTAAATTGGGGGGAAGAACTAGACGAGAATTTTTGGCTCGCGGTTATGAAAATTACCGCCTTACATCTATTAATTTTATCTAAAATGTGAACTGACTCAAAATTGTTTGTCTTATTGTGCGGAAATGTGCAATAAAGCTATATGTGGAATTTTTATCTACATAATTACACGGATAGTGTTTGCTTTTGAATTAGCTATTAAACGTTTTTCAATGAAACACATTTTGAATTATGTGAACTCGTCACTTAAGTTTTATGTTGGATGCTTTCATGAAGGTATTTGTTTCGTAAATGACCTAACTAAGTGACCCTAAACAGCTTCGGCATAAATTTTTAAGTTTTCAACGTTTAATTCTTATTGGATGCACCCTTGTTGGAACTTCATTTTTACTCGTGAGTAGATTGCAAAAAAATAAATAATAAATACTTTACGTTCAATAGCCAAAAGAAATTTGTTAGGCGTGTGCATAATTTAAATATCAATTTCCCTAATTATTTGGCGGCTGTCGCCATCGCCCTAAACTTAATTCATCAATCAGTGGATTAAATTTTTCCCTATTTTGCGTTACACAGGAAAGCAAGATGAGGGTAATGGGCAGCGCTCGGCCCCCAGGCAGGGTTTGGCTCTTCACAGCGACCCTCTTTTCCCTCGCACCTGCCGTCCTCTCTGGTGAGCTGTTCATAATATTGTTTGTATTAATTTTAAAATTATTAATTTATGTAGTAATAATTTAGGTTACTTAATTAAAATGTTTACATTAAAATAAAAATGAACCATTCAAATTTTGAAAGTAGCTGCGGCGCTGTTGTAAGAATTTAATTTTAAAGTGACTATGTCTTGCAAAAGCCGTCTTCTCATGGATACAGTTGCACGTGATGTATGGAAGAGGATCTTACTATCTTTTATGAAACTAATTTTAAAAGAAGTGTTTAGTTTTATCAAAAACGAAAGTTGATTGTAGACAATAAAAACTTGTTAGTATTCGATCTGCTAGACGATTTTCATCTTCACTCATGCCATCTAACACAACATTTAATCTTACATCGAAGCACAGCATCCAGATTAATAAGAATTTGATTACTAATTATAGAAAAAAACTTTTAATTTTTATCTTCTAAGACGTCACCAATGTTTCAGAAGAAAATATAAATATGTAAATTAAAACCTTTATGCGATCAAGCTGCACCTCGTATACTAGAATTCAGTTTTTCCGATTTTTCGCTCAGAATAAAGTACGGATCTGCCAAATGGTGACACAGTTCCTTACCACGTACGCCCCTTTTTTGATCGGCCCTTCTGCCATGCCGAACTGGGCGACCAACTCAAATGCAAAAAGTATATCGCAGTTTGTGTTGTCTTATAGATGACTTTTTCAGCTTTTAGCCTCATTTTATGACCGTAAATTTATCGTAAACTTGAAGTTGCAGCTGGTAAGTGCGCTTCTACCTTTGCATTAATTCTTGATCATTCTTGAGTTTGATTGTGGCTGCTGATTATGCGTTCATGATAAGGACGCCCATTCGTAGAGTGCCTTTTGGTATTTTCCGTATAATATTCCTATATATTCCTCAACAAAGGTATATGGTTGATTAGATATTTTTTGTCACAGCGCTGCACTCCTCTCATCATAAAATTCGTATATTATTCAGCCGTTTAATTCACTGCATGTTTTAATTAATAGAACATATATTTCGTACAAAAATCCTCTTAATTATAACAGAAATGTTCAGTGGCTTACTAACTCGCATTGTTGAATTGGTTCATGAGTTCTACAATTTTAGGAAACTGCACGCTTATCCCTTTAATGCCTTACTCCAGCCTGCCATATTAGATGTCATACACATGACCGATGTATGACGGATGACGACGTGCAAAAACACGGCCAACTCGGTGTAGAAGACAGCTCGTGCTGCTCATACAAGAGAAAGAGTTCAAACATAAAGACTTATTCGCCAATTGAGCTCAAATTTGCGATATCATAAAAAATCCTTAGAAGACATCATTTGTGTCTTAAAAGAAAGTAATGCGAGTACCAAAGAACGAGTGAGAGTGAAAAAGAAAGAAAGAGACTGACAGCTCGTGTTGCTCATACAAGAGGAAGAGTTAATTCTTCAACAATTGAGCTTAAATTTGCGCGTTAAACTATAATGAGTTTATTTGCACCTCTGTAGCCGAGCTCCTTGGATTTTTGAAGCTTGCTTCATATCCAGGAGAAATATTTGTACAGTATCGTGGCCAATACGATATGCACACAATTGAATCACTTCACAAGTGATTCACTTCGATCACATCGTTTACGCAAAACTAGGTGATCGATTACAAAAATATTCTTCGAAATCAAGCTAAGCCGATTAATGTTATTCTTCGATTGTTCAACGCGTACCTAATTGCAATTATTTTTGTTTGATTTAAAATTAATTTTTTATAATAAATTAAAGTCTCTAAATTATAACTGATCAAAATGAGATTTATTCGTTTCGGTAACAATTTCTTGTTAAAATATTTTATTCGTGCTAGTCTGGAAATTCTACGAAAACGTTTACACTCAGTTATGCCTTCGCGTTACATGGCAAGATGTTTAAATGTCTACAATTTTGATCGATTCTGTCAGAGCCGTTTGTCGATAATGATGTGAACCATTCTGCAGTTAATTCATGGTTCACAGAGTTACTATAACTGATATTTTGTTTGAGTTAAGTGAAGGCCCTGACATCAGTGACATGTCCTTCTACTCTACAGTTATGCTTTGTGGATAACCAGTAAGTTGACCACAGTGCATCCACTGACATCGTCGTCAAGACATGCGCATGCCTAACACTTTATGGCTCGCTACGTGGTAAAACACTTCCATGATTTGCGTCTAAAATGGCACCCCGAGGCGAGCCACTTCATATGGCCACTTATGAAGACATTCGTATGCATGCCTCGCTCTGGTGCTCAGAAACATCTTCAGTTTGTCCTCCAGCAAAAGTTAATTTGGTGACTTATGAGGTCAATCCAAGGCGAATTTCCAAATCTCAAGTCAAATTCTTTCTATCATGTTTCAAGACAATCCTTTTATGTCTTGTTCACCCATGGCTGGAGTTTGCTCATAAATAAACATTTTAAATGATCCGTATATCGGAATTCATAGGTGCAATATGCTTTTCCTTTATACTTTACTGGCACTATAGGGAGTTCTGTGAAGTTTTTTCTAATAAATTTACTTGTAGTTTGAACATTAAAAGTATAATCGTATACAATTTTTTGTACGCTTTTCTCGTATAAGTGCAATTGTTTTGTAATTGCTTGCGTTGAATCTACTTCTACTTTAAATATCTAATTGAATGGTTCGAACGGAAGCAATATGCAATAAGCTTTACTGATAAACTTTGCACAGGAAAGCTTGACGCAAGATCTGCCACAGAAATTTGTTAGCGTGCGTTCACTTGTTTATTATCACCTCTGACATTTAGGACAAAATGCTACACTACATCTTCGAGACCAGACGATATCCACAAACCGTGTAGCGTCCTCAAAACATCCAATTAAATCGAATACTCGTGAAACTCTTCAACCAATTCTTCCGAAGTGAAGTACGCATGCACCGTCTCATTTACACCTATTCTCTTGCATGATCTGACTACGGTTTTGGTGCATTTTCCCATTTCCGTTGAATGGATTGCCTCCAACATCTCGTTTTCGTGCACTTATTCGTATTCTGATGAGCATATTCTCTGTTGGGCAAAATACTGTACATTGTTTACAGAGCACAATATATTTTTACATTTTTTTTTCGATACATAAAAGGAAGACTAACTTGCATGCGAACGTACCTCATCTGCTCAGAAGTGTAGAGGAGGCAAATCGGTTTTTAATTTTGTGGCAGCCTTTGTTGTCTTCAGTAAATGGGCTAATAAGTGGCTTCTTAAACATCTTCATGAATGGCTAAATGAGTCGTAACATAAAACTCGCTCCATGTCGAGCGGCTTACCAAATTCGAAGCAACAAATTTTAAAATTACTTCAAAGAATATTATTGAGGTTAAATGCCATCCATGTTCTTTCATTTAAATTAAATATTTTCTATTGATGCAGTTCCGACACAAACTCTAACGCCCAAATAATATCGTAAATTTATTCGTGAAATACTTAAAAAAATATGTTTCTTCTCGCAAATAAATTTACGAATTGACAGCAAATTAAAAAATTACCAAAGCACAGATTTATATTTCCCCGGTCTATCGCTTTTATCACGGTGTATAACTTAAGAAAGGGATTTTATTTTTATCGTATAACGTAAGCGTGTCAAGTTAATAAATGGGAATAATGCATAACGACAATATCTTTGCACCAAACTTGCTATGTCGAATCTTGGTGCATGGGATCGCACCAGCCAGTACTGTTCGTTCTTACAAGCGCTTAGCTACTCCTGAACGATACTTTTGAAAAATTCCTGAAGTAAGAAAATAATATCACACTATAAGCTTAAAAGAAATTATAATGGAAAAATTTTATCCGTATTCCTTGTTCGGATGTTATTGCTAACCTAAAGTACAGAAATAAACTTGTGTCATCTCTTACTAGTCAGCTCAGCATTTTGTAAAATAATGCAAACAGCTTCACGCCACACGAGCAAATACATGACAGGTTTTCTCATACATCGTTCGGAATACTTGATTCTCACATTAATGAGCTTATGCAGGCCATGAGGTTCACTTGAATTTCTGCGCTCAATGCCCCCATAGAGCGCCCAGTGTAGACTATTTGGCCAGCGCCCATTGAGAGATTTGGGCTCTTATTTGTACCGCTTTTCTTCCGCCTATGCTTTTAAACTCTCTGCGCTACTGAAATATAGGGTGAACCAGAACCGACTCATCGTCTTATTTAATAGATATAACAATTTTGACACAGACATGAATTGCTTTCAAAGCCCCACGTGTACACGATTGAGACCTAAGATTGCACGCTGCACTTTCTTTTCACCTGAACATCAACATTGGACAGTCTGTACTCATTGCAATCGAGACTGCATGCATTTCCAGTATTGTCAATTATGACGGTGATGCAGTTCTTACATGAATATTTTGCATTATAAAATATTGTTACTGTAAACGATATGGGCAACTTAAACTCAATAAATTGTGTATCAATAATAAAATATAAGTGAAGCGGCATTCAGTGTGTCGTCCATCACACCTCAACACAACACTCGGCATATTTCTTATCAGCATATTTTCCGGCCACTGCGTACTTGATGGAAGAATTTGAAGAGCTTCCTTCTCTTATAATTATATAGTTGGGAGCGTGTGCCCGACTGCTTTTTTTTATGTAAGATCAGCCTGTTGCTGTGAGACAGGCGTTTGGAACTTGTTCGTCTGGTCTGTAGGTTAATTTTGACGTATGGGCTAATAACTTTAGATACGATGGTGGGCCGACGTCCCGACGAGCAACTTAAAGCCTCTCTGTCCATGCTTGTTAAATTCCACACCGACCCTTCCATTATCTTTATATTCTGGCTGGAATTTTTATTCAATTTTAATTAAAGCTCGATACATTGGACTTTCACTCCTGGCAAATATTTTTTCCAATAGGGGTGTTGTAAGTTATAATAATAAATTGCGCAAGTGCTTCATAAATCCATCATTATATCGCGAAAGCGTTTTTCGATTTGTTCCATTTAAAATAATCACAAAGAATTGAAATTTAAGAGTAAAAATTATAGCTATCTTTTGAGCAGCCAATTTAATCCTTTCTTTACAATTTTGTGGGATTTTTTCAATCGAGAATAGAATCTACTTTGCAACGGCATTGCGTTTTGTACTGAGTGTAGTTGAATGGCGCTAGCCAATATGTTTATAACTAGTACCCTCAAAAATTTTTAATCGCATTAAAATGGCAGCTACCGCATCCTTACTTTCATTGAGTGCATGTAACATGTGCCGCTTTGATGGCCCTAAACCACATGACATTTAATGATAGCTTCTCAATGTTCAGTTACACTAATTAAAGGCACGATATTTTAAAGGCATCAGGCGTAGCGTCCAGTCATCTCCTTATCTAAATTGCCTCAAGATTGACGCCAAGTCGCGATTGCGGGCCGACGTTTCCATCATCGTTCAGTTGTCGACGAGGCAATAAAAAGCAGTATATGCATTCCGTGTTGTGGCTCTACTAACGAAGGACTGTTGTATTACCTGAAACAAAATTCATGTATGTTAAATTTTAAGCATTTCATCGCCATTGATGGTCTCATGCAATAGGTCAATATTCAATCAACTGGCGAGAGCGCGAGACGTGTCGCAATATGTTATGTGCGCACTGGTTGGTACCGCTGTTCACGTCTTCGTCAACATTTTTACTGAGCCTCAGGCCTATATAATTGATCAAATTAGTAGAAACTGTATGCAGGGTAGAGAAAATTTATATGTACACTTTCACCATTTTTTATTCATTTTACTTATGTATACATCAAACAAAAAATCTAGTTAATTTATTTGAAACTCTTCATGGAAATTGATAAATGTGCTCGTGTCGGACTCAATAGAATGCGCTGCGCGTGCACCTTATAGTAATTTTGCGTCTGCACCATCATCTCCGTCCGTTTATGGGCGCTGGAGTCATCTTCTTCTTATCAGTTCGTGGTCAGCACTTACCCGCAATATATCTACTAAGATTGGGTCATGTTTTTGCTGCTAGATTTATCCTTTGCAGACCAACAACCATAAACAGCTCATAATCAGGGAGCTGTTAGAGAAGAGCTTCCTTCATAGCTCGTGCAAAACCGAACCAACCTGCACTGCTAACAGCGCTGCTGAAGTGGTCATTGAGAGCAAGCTTGTCGAGCTACAATGCGGAAGCGCCCAAAGATAAGAAATAACGGATGTGATTGTGCCAATGGTGTAGGAATTATAACCTGTTACTTATTGAAGCCAGGCCCGCAAGTTGGCTGATCGAGAAAGTTCTGTTGTTGTGGTTGCATTCGGCACGATGGCCAACACTATAGTTAGCTTCTTTTAATTTAATCGATCTCATTAAAAGAAGAATGATCTCGATCGATCATTAGTAAAAGCGTCCTTCAGTTTGTTTGTGTATGTTCAAAACTTTTGTATCGTCCTGGCAACATAGGTACGTATTTCTAAATTTCAATTCATGGACACGAAAGATGCAACTGCAACAGGCTGGCAAGTTGGAGCAAGTTTGAAAAACTCCGAGCTTGGTTCCAACTTATTCATTCTATTGAAAAGGTCTTTACTCCGCACTTAGTGACTTTACTAATCACTCAGTGACTTTACTCCACACCTGGTGACTTTACTCCTCACTTGATGACTTTACTCCACACTTATTGACTTTACTCCACACTTAGGAGTAAAGAAACAACATCAATAGAAACATAGGACAGCGAAACATCAATAAGGACAACTACAGGAAGGGTGGGTTTGGCAGTAGTCCCACCTCAGGCTGCCCTAAGCACCAGATCATTGCAGGGCTTCACGCCATCGCATTTGCATCACCGGCTTTTTTCCCTGCTTAGGTCCCCCCCCCTGTTGGTGGAGGCTGGAAATTAGTGCTAACTGATGGGGCGCTCCGTGCGCGAGTCATATAATAATTATGTTGTAGACTTTTGCAGCACCGTTCAAAGAAGTTTCAGTGCGTGCAGTGCAAAGCTGTACAAAGAAAGAACGTATGAGTCAGCTCAGATGCAATTTGCATGATTCACTTTATCCTCTATTTACAGCATAAACAAAAACTACTGTATATATCACTTATCGGAATAGTACCCACTTATCTTGCGTGTACTCCATTATGTCGCGAAATCGTGTTCTTCATTCTTGGTATAATTCGTTGCGAGTTTTAATTCGTTACGTGGTCGACAAACACATTCTCGAGTGAATTAATCATTCGTTATACTTATTTATTGACAAACCCGCTATAATTGTGGATAATTTAACTAAGTGAAAATTTCTTTCGTGCAATCAGCATGCTCAGGTCCCCTGGGGATGGCATCAGGCGACATATTGGACTGGCAGATCTCAGCGTCGTCAGCGTTCCCGTCATCACGGGACTCAGGCTGCCACATGCGGTACGCGCGCCTGCACCAGCCCAACGGCCGCGCCTGGTGCTCAGGCAGGAAGGTGGCCGGCGAGTGGCTGCTCGTCGACCTCGGTGTCGCGGCCAAAGTCAGTTTCGTTCTGTGTCTTGTTTGAGTTAAAAAAAGTATATTTTCTAATATTTATTGATTTGTTGTCTTTTTCACATTTGTTCCTGTATAGATCAACATATATTTTCATTTGCTTATTATTCATTTTTGTGTAAGCCAATTTTTAGTCTCTAAAAACACGATACTAGCTCCATAGAGGAAATATTTGTTAACCATTTCACCCATGTGTATTCGTACGTGCATACAGATTTGCCCTGTATTGCCATGCACCGCTTCTCATTTAACACACGTATAATGTTATTGTGTTCTTGGTGTTTCTTCTATTAACAAATTCCTCAATTTTGCATCTTACAAAAAAAATAATTTCTTCCTAAATACTAGTTATTGGCCTATTCCTCTGTATAAAGTAATGGAAAACTTTGAATTATTGATGAAATCTGGGGGAAAATTTTAAACCTGAACTAGAGAATGAGTCAAAATATGACTTCATATTTCTCTGTTATGGCCTCATCAGAGTTTAATGGGCTCATTATAAATATAATTACCCTCAAATAAAGACAAATCCGAAAGTAAATTTCAACCACTTTGTACCTAATGCTATTTAGTTGACGCAGATTACATGGCGCCATGCTCCATGCATGGGAAGCAGATCTGATGCACAAATAAATTCTACGTTAGTTCAGGATACGAAGATATTGAACAAGTATTCTCTGTTGATGTCGAACTTGTTTTGTATTCACACATTTTTTCCTTGAATGCGATTGGCCACGGAGTTGGATTTCATGATGAGGCTACTTTCAAAGACGACCGGTTCTCCTGGACATAAACAGGATCACTTTATTGTCGGCTTGTGGCTCCAATTGGCTTCAACCTTACCTGGCACCATTACCTTCATTTATCGTTGTTGACAGACAACAGACATTTTTTTAAATTCAGACATTTTGCGTGAAGGAAGTGTTTGTTATGGTTACATGATTATAACATGCATCGGTGTATTTAGACTTGCATTTTTTCATAAATTCGTTAATCAATGGGTTTAATTCAATCATAGTTTGAAAATACCGCAAGATACTCAGTGTATTTGGTGTACGCTTAAAATTTTAAACAAGAAGTGAAAAAAGTTCTCACCTTCGTCGTTCAGCTTCAAAATCTGCGCCTTCAAGGCAGAACATATTTTCGGAATTTAGTGTAGTGTCACCCAAATGGTTGAACTAATATTGGATTAACCATGAGTGTCACACATGTATGAACCAATATTAGTATGAACAATATTTTAGTAGTATGATATTAGTATATTCGTATTAGTAGAATGAGTAATTAGTATTATCATCACACACGTATGAACCAATATTAGTATGAACAATTAGTAGTATGATATTAGTATTAGTATTAGTACTATGAGTAATTACTATCATTATCACTCATGTATGAACCGTATGGACCAATATCAGTTGAACCATAAGTTTCAGCATGTATGAACTAATATTAGTTGAACAATGAGTACTACTCCTGTAATAATTATTATTAGTTGAGCCATTATTGTCACTCAATTATAAACTAATTTCAGTTGAACCGTCACCTCATCGGCAGGTGACAGGCGTGTTGACACAGGGTAAAGGTGACGGTAAGGAGTGGGTGACGTCATACCAGTTGTCGTACTCAATGGACGCCTACGTCTGGAACTACGTAACTGACCACTACGGTGACAAAAAGGTACGTGCACGATCGTCTCATATATATTTGGTACTATAGTTATTAGCGAACACCCCAGAAATTTTTATCTTTGCCCAATACATAATTTGAATTTAATTTTCACTCGTTGATGTCTTGTGTGGCAGCTACGAAAAAGTTGAATTGTACCTCTAAAGACATACAAGTCCATCAAGTGCATTCAACATATCGCATTTTATGGCTAATCCAAAGTTCTTGTCGACTCTTCATCTGCGAATGAGATCGAAATTTTAAGCATCATAATTGTTTACCTCAAATTCACTACTATTAATTTCAACTTTTAATGTTTATTCTCATATTTCTGAGATCTGAGTTTTTCATGTACAAATTTTACGATTTATGTACTTATATTTTTTGATTTTATAAACGCAGTAATTCATTTATCATAGTTGGCTTTATAATGGCATAAAGCCACAGCCCTCTTTATGCTATTAATGTGAAGCCGATGGCTTCACATTAATTACGTCCTTCGTTTAACGTTTGTCTTGTTTACAGGATAGCGTAATATAGTTGCCCATTTATATGTTGCAGTTAAAATATGAACGTTCCGTACGTCAAATTAATTTAAGAACAACATGAAGGCATATGAGTAATGCGTGCATCGGACCCGAACGTATTTCTCCCGCATCTCATCCGACATTATGTATCGTGATATCGCAGTTCATCACCGCTTATGAGAGACCTTAAATAGCTCAATATTGACAAATTTCATTCCATCAATCTAAATAAATAAAATTTAGTCGTGGAAGAATCCTGTGTGGCCTATTTAGATTCCTTGGCTCTGCACGCTGTACTTCGATCCTCCCAACGTAGATTCATGTGGCTAATAAGTCTGTCTCAGGTGTACCTACATCCTGCACAGCTTGCGTATATCCCACTGGCCGTTCATAAATACTTCAGTGATATTCATAAATCTCCAGGCAGTCATAATAAATCCGCTGAATCGAGCACTTTCGCTCACTGGCGCTGATGCGCATATTGGTGTTTCCGATACCCGGTGATGAATGCGGCGGGATGATGACCGTGCCAGTGATGCACATGCCTGTGATGTCCCAAAAAAAAAAAAAGTATGGCCCCAGGGGCCATACCTTCAAAACTCGGTAAGTTAACGTAAGTACTTACGCTCTATTTTCTTGTCTATGATTGGTGATTTTGCTTGAAAGGCCGTCTGATTGGCTGATGAACTTTCGATCTCTTAACTTTTTTTGAAAGTATTGGCCCTGAGGCCCCTGATTGGCATCGGGGTCCCAGCTCTTCTCTTATAGGCTGTACAGCGAGTAATTTGAATGAAATATGGTTACCGATTGACTTCATTTGTGTGCAAACGTTTGGTTAGGTGTAGCATTCAGAGAAATTAGTGTATTTTTTTAAATTTGAAATAGAGCATATAGTGATTTGCGGGGTTTGTTCCATAATTATTTCTCATTCTGCAGTAGTTAACTATTTACATTATAAAAAGGGGAAATGAGTTTACCGGGAGCTATTACTAATGGTGATGTTGAAATTTGATGTTAAAGGGTCAATCTTTCATAAGTAATTTAGCTTCATTCAAGTTGCCGACCTAGATCAGTAGGCCATGATGTATTTATTATAGTGTTATTAGGTATAAAGGCTATCGTTATTCGTTCAAGGAAGGCTACGTTATTCGTTCAAGGAAGTAGTTTTATTTCAATTTAGTATAGGTTTGGAAACGAATCAAATCGCCAACCATCATGAGTCATCATTATTGTGTCAGCTCTAATTCACTTGGGGTATTTTCCAATTTATTTCGATGTTGCGAAAAATTGTGTTTTTGTTTGCGTTTGTGGGGCGGCGATCCATCGTGGCCTGGGACTGCTATGTCCCAAACAAATACTAAGGATACTAAGGATTGTGCGCGTATTTTTGCGAATATTTCTTTGGTGACGTGGAGATTAATCAAATAATTCGACATAATTCGTTCACGCCTTAATCTTCCCATAAAATAATTATATCCTAGTCGACACAGCAAGCGAGTTGCAATAATCTAGTTCTACTGTCATACGAAATCTCCATGTATGCTTTATAATCTTTTATTGCCGAGTTTGTGTTTTTACCTATTTAGTCTCAATAACAATATAAGCTGTTCTTCATTTTTAATTATCTCTTTCAATATGGTGAAATGCTTGTACGTGTCAGAGATTCGTTTAGCAAAGAAATGACCGGATCTGCATATTTCCATTTTACTCTTCTCACTACTTTTTGTGATGAAGCTATTCATACAAAGTGTGTACTTAATATGTTTCAATAAGAAGGAATTAAATTAACTCAACAAACTATCTAAATTCTAAATTACATGATTTTTAAACTTTTAAACTCTTTCAAAAATATGTATCCTGTACATATTTATGACTTTTTTTGAAACTATGGCTTCGATATTTGTTCTTCAGCGATAATAAGCCCGCAATATCGCTCAAAAGAAGAGTATATAAGACCTCCCACACCTTATCTTGAAACCTACGCGCTCCAACACTTGCAACGCTCGTACGCATGTTTCGATAAGATCTCGTCTACTCATCGGATCCTAATGAATGAAACTTTATACTCAGCAAGCCAGAACACACAGAGGGAACTCGTGCTTTTGCTCTTTGCTTGAGCCACGGAACCCATTGACTTGTACCCAAATATTTTTGCCCTCCGGGGAATCGTGTTCTTAGTGCTACAAGGTAAACCTTACGCTCCACCATGCACGCCGATCTTGTTTCCTGATTGTCAAATTATCCTATTTATATTATATATTATCAAATAACATTAGAGTTTAGAAGGGTAATTCAAAATATTGTATAAATTAGTTTTGAACCGTTGATTATTTTGAAGACCTAAATATTAACAATATCTTGCAGTGAGTTATTACATAAGTTATAGCTCACCCAGTTGGCTGTAGCTTATCTGGTAAAAAAAATTCAGGAGCACGATTGTTTGTCAAAGTAATTCAATTATATGAAATGAATTACTTAAACAAGTCAATAGAACACAATTCTGCTTTCAGTAAGCGTTGTAATTTCAGGCAATTTATTTGCTGAAAAACTGTCCATGAGGCATAAGTAAATTAGTGGGCTTATTGAGGCTTTTGTTCCTATGGGTCGCTTTTAAAATATTATGAGAGTACTTTTAGTGGCACTAGAAATCGCAGGTTGTAAGAAGACATCCCGCCTTCGGTCTCATCCGATAATCTGGGATATTGGCAAAGCAATTTAACATCCCAATCGTCATGTTAGCCGAATGAGAGCACATCATCCGCAGCATCAATCCGGACTTCTTCAGAACTGCCTCGTCAGCAAATATCCCCTGGAATTCAATTCAACTCTTATGGATTTCCTTTATTTATATGCGTGTTTCTTGTGTGTAGTAGCGGATGGCTTTAAGGTAGAAAAAAAATGCCTTTGTAACGATGTCACGGCGAAACACGATTGGTTCTGTTACTCCAATTCCGTGTTTTGTTATCGTTGTCATGGTATCGTTATCATGTTCATGGACGAAACTTTAGCCATTATTTGCAAGTCAAATAGCGTAAAGGACTTATAAACAAAACCTAGTGCAAGATTCAACGAATATAATTATGAAAAATTTTATTTATTTTTAACATAGAAATTATGTGTTATTATTCTATTACGCATGGTTTTGAGATATATTTTCTCTCATACGGAGGAAAAATGGTGAAGTGAGCTATAGCCCAAAAAACTATAAACCACAGTTCTCTTCTTCGACTAAACAGTATATGTCTGTCTGTATTGATCCGCCGCGTTTGTTGGTATTTATTACGCAAACGATTCGTCGTGCTTGTACTGGATTTTCAAACAATAGAAAATAATAGGTTATATACACAATACTAATTTTAACCGATGTTCAATACCTCTACTTCTCCCATTAATAGTAATTCTACCTGAAGTAAAGCTTTAGATAAGACAGTATAATGTGCTCGATTTCAGGTTTTTTCTCTACGTGTAAATCAGAATCGTAATTATTTGCCCTTATATGTGTTGTGAGATAAAAACCTCCTATAGTGTTTAAATTTGCCCTTCCAATGGCGCAGTTCACTGCCGATATTTCTGCCATATTCTTATCAGTGTGCAATTATTGTAATGAGGTGCGAGTAAATAAGGCATTTAATTACGCCCTTGGGGGCTACTATGGGTGCCAACGATGGAAAAAATTACTCGCTCTGAAGAGGTCGGACGCGCGCAGCAATACACTCGTTTCTGATTTGCCGCAAGTTTCATCAATGATTATGCCGACAAAATTCACGAAGCACCTTTATATTATTTTAACTACTCATGAGGGACCACTGCATGTCTAACGTTTTGTTCTCAATTTTGTCAAGTAGAAATTTTTTTAAGTTGCGTGATGAGGTATCGACGATCCTTTTAACAATCAATTCAAGGAAACTGATGGATGAATGAACTTCTGATTAGTATGAATCTGCAAACAAAAACTGCCGTAAGGATAACTTCCTCCATCTTCCTCGATAACATCTTAACGTGCAATGAAATGAGCAAAGCTCGTCAACCTTTATTATAATGACATCAACAAAGCTCACGCCAAACACTTATGGTAAATCAAAACGACGTCTCATTCATCTATTTTTGATTAGTTAGAGAAAATGCCGTTGCAATATTCGTCGGTCAACTTTCACAGAATGAAATTGGAACCCTAACTATAATTCAGTTTTATTTTGAACATTTCTCTTAAACGTACATGTAACTTTAATCCAGACGATACTTGTTGACTAAAAATATGTACATTAAAAATATCTTAAGTGCGGTATCACAAACACTAATGCTCAAGCAGGTGGCAAAGATGCCAGACGTAAAAAGTGTTGCGTATTGCTCGGGAAGCCTTATATGGCTTCTGGTGCGCTGTTCCTTTAATAAGTATTGTCACCGCGAGCTAGAGATGCAAGTTCCAGTACCGTGCAACGTTTTTTATGGCAATTTAGTCACCTGTAGCTTAACGACTTCAAAGCACCCATAACTCAGAGCTCCACAATCTGCGCTGATGAGTTCAGAAAACTTCCTGGTTGCTGTCTTGCTAGAAAGCTGCTCCTTTCCCTATCCTGTTGGGAATGATATTCGCTCCCTAACATAATTCAGAGGGCGTTGCTCTACATTACGATCATGAGGTATCGTGTTCGAATCCTTCGACAAGATTCCTCGCTATGTAGTTCGTAATCGGACAAACTGGGCGAAAGTGATTTCATGTTTTTGCCCAAAACAAAAATGGTTCGCTATGTTCGAAGTGTCATGGCGGAAGGTTATACTTTATAAAATACAGCTATAGCCAAGAGAGCAGGCATCATTTTTCATTACTAACCAGCCATCACTTGCAGGCATAGCAACGCGGGTTAGTTACAAATTAATTATTACATTTATATTCGCCGGCATTGACGATTAATGAACTTGAAAGATTTAGTGAAGACCGATTGATTTGTCAGTTAACTTTGTCTTTCTGCTTCATCGCGCTCGTACGGCATTTCGGATTTGTAACCAAATCGGAAATATATCTATTTCGGATACCGGAAATTGGTGTAGTTCGGCAGAAGCTTTCTTTTATGCAACTTTGATTGAAGAACAGAGCATGCTTTTTATTAATAATCTTTTTATTCGTTTTTCAATTATTCGAACAAAATTTCTTGCTGACGCCAGGAGATCAAAACGCAGGTTACCAAATTACAATTTAATGGATTATACCATATACAAAAGCACGAATAGGCAAACTGACTTAGCTAAATTCCACCTCGGCAAAACTAAGCCTTCTTTGGTCGTGCTTAGGTCGTTTCAAACGTCAGTGCTTATCGCTGCGACTGATCTGTTGGCCTCATAGCGTGCGATGCGTCTGATAAAGGTTGTGGGTTGTGCTGTGTTTATAGAGCTGGCCATTTTATCAGTTTCTGTAAGTTTCATTGGTTGGGTCGTGTCGATGAGTATCTGAGTGACACCTACCCACTGGACACGATCTCGAGCTCTACGAGTCGTACTTTCACTAGGTCAATTAATTCTCCTCTCTGTGCTGTACTGTGCGTAGTACGAATACCTTGCACATGTTGTACAATACACATATTTTCAAAGTAATTGATGTCGGAGAAAACGAGCAGAAGTATTTCGAAAAAAACGCAATTTTCTTCCGGTATAAGAAAACCAATTCTCAAACGAAGATAAGTAAATGAAATAAATTCTTTTTTATTCTTCTAATTTCTGGATTATTGCGAGTTTGTTTTGTATTGCTCAATTTTTTATTAAATTGAGCGTTAATTTCTATCGGAAACTTTTGTAACTGTAGAAAATGCTGCGGCATCTGCTGGCATAATTGCCATTCAATATTCTCGAACGTGTATTCCTCTTATATTTAGTCTTGATATCATGGTCACTATTAAGGTCTTTGTTTAAGTAAATCCTCTGTTTTTCCATTATTAAATGCATAATTCATATCAATCTCCCAATTTAAAATTTTTATGTGAATAACTCAGAGTTTTTTGCTCCCTCCGGGGAACTTTAAAGGAAAAGGTTCACTCGTCCGTCTTATTATTTACGAGTGTTTTCCCATATTTTATTTCATGGACGCTCTCCATGCTTGTTTCTTTGATTACTGATCTTAGTTTCTCACTAGATGAATGAATAATCTAGTATAAATATCACATCACTTAAAGGTTGCAGGCTCCTCGGTTATATATAGTAAGGCAAACAGCATGTAGGGATTTCTTAGAGCTTAATTTTGTGAGAAGACAGTGGCCGAGATTACGGCTAACACGAGCTTGCATCCTTTCAGTCGGCGGCAGCGGCGTGCCCGGCGACCGATGGACTAAGCCAATAATTTTAATTCGCTGTATATACAAACATTAATTGTAGATACATTTTTGTATTGTTAATAATAAGGCTTTCAGATGGAACGCTCGCTTTTTAATAAACATTAGATTATAGGATATTTACTTGTTGTTTTAGGTTTCGATTTGCTTTTCTATAAAAAGTAAACCCAACCCTGATGAAGCAAATGATCTAAGATCCCAGAGCAATGAATAATCCTGTTCTCGGGAGAATTTCAGAGAAAATATATTGGTAGGTTTATACATTATATTTTCCAAAGAAAAACAGAAAGACAATTATGGGACTAAACGCTTCATGTTTGATATATGATACTCTTCAAGTTCCTGATAGGATACACTATATGATAATAGTATGGTATTAAACTATGCTATCAATAGTATATTTTTAACCGTATAACGTACTATTGTTCGGTTAATAGTATATTTCCACCTCCGTATTTCTCACATGCTGGAAAAGAAATCCTTCATATTTTATGCACATGTTAACTCCATATTCATTGACTTGTTCATTCAGTTAGAGCCATTTGATTGGGTGATACTTGAATATGAATTTTAATTTCAAGCTTTAGAACTAGCAATTCTGTTGTATACTCATCTGCCGTGAAAAAGGCTCACAATCGTTAAGAGCAGCGCCGCTACCTATAGAAACCCATCTCAATTTTCATTTGCATTCAAATTTTGTTTGTTTTCCCGTTGATATTTCAGCACACTTCCATCCTCCTGCCTATCTAATGAAATGAGGACTTTGAGCCCTTTATGTTAGACGTGTTGTTTTAAAATTTGATATAATGCTGAATCAATATTATGTGTTTATTAGGGCCGCTGCATAGGCGTGAGCGTGTTTGTCTAGAAGCCTGAAACAGCTTCCTAGTTCTTGTCCATTGTTCTCTTGATAGAACTGAGAGGCTGGAGCTGCCCTGTGTCAGTGTCCTTCTTTATCTTTAATGAGACAAGACTGATGGTTTCCTCCTCAGCCATGACAGCCAGTTTGCTTAAGCTTCTGCTAATCGAAACACAGTCAATGGCTCTCTCGTTCTCTCTCACGAATCGTGCTTTCTTTCTCACATTGAATACGCTCAGCCTTTCTTTATCTCATCTTGAAGAAAGACCTTCTTGATAAACGAGGTTGCAAGGCCTGCTTGAGACTCTACGTCGTCCGATAATAATCAGCGACATTGATGATTTTCGCCTGTATATAAATGAAATCAGATTAAAGTCGAGGCTATTTCCAAGTTGGCATTAATCTCGTTGAACGTTTGGAGCGTCGAAATCAATGTTCGTAATCACATCCGATGAATTTGTATTATATTTCAATCCCCTTATTTGATTTTGTTTATCAAATCATCGCTGAGAACGCAAAAGCCGTTTTCCTATTTTTTTAAAGGGAATCATATAAGTTGAACGTGTTATCTGCAAGCCGCCTGCCAGTTGCTAACAGGTCATTAACGTGTCAAAGACTTGTCGAGAAGCCACGCCCCATCCTGTGTTCTCACTGCTGCTTCTTTCAATGGGTGACGGGTAAATTATAGGCTGAACGATAACTGCGATCATCTTCAATATTTTCTCACTGGGAGCCGTGAACAGTGAGCCAATGATACCTCCCCAATTTCATTCCCTTCCTGAGGAAACGAGATCTTCTAAGTTGGAAAACTTCAAATTGGAAGTAATTGCGGTGTTTTTTTTTACTAGCAACAATCGCACTAAGTAGCAAACACACAAGTTTATGGGTGCCTAATTAATACAATGAAAGAGGTGAATTATATAAATAACCGTCAGCACAAATTAGTTTCAGAAGTAATCGCTCTTGTTTCTTTTGTTGTTAAGGTGTTCAGTGGCAACACGGACTCGCGCACGCCACGCCACAACTACATCGTGCCTCCCGTAAAAGCTCGCTTCATCAGACTACACGCGCTCTCATGGCATACCCACCCCTCGCTCCGGCTCGAGCTTCTTGGCTGCCAAGGTGAGAAGCAACAGTCGACCCGCGGCTCCGGCTCGAGCTTCTTGGCTGCCAAGGTGAGAAACAACAGTCGACCCGCGGCTCCGGCTCGAGCTTCTTGGCTGCCAAGGTGAGAAACAACAGTCGACCCGCGGCTCCGGCTCTAGCTTCTTGGCTGCCAAGGTGAGAAGCAACAGCCGACCCGCGGCTCCGGCTCTAGCTTCTTGGCTGCCAAGGTGAGAAGCAACAGTCGATGAAGTATCAACGGGTTTCACAAATGATTAAGAACATATTATCGCTTTTTCTAGAAAAAAGTAATCGAAAATGAGGTAAATTAATGTTTGTTCTGATTCAAACCTAATCTGCATGCCAGATTAGCTTTCTAATTAAGTTTTTATAATATTCTTCCTACTTCTGAGTAACATCAATAAATTTATTATTATTGATTCTTTAGATTATGGTCGAAAACGTTTCGAAACTTAATTGTGAGCCCTGTTTCTCTATCTAATCAGAAAGAAAGTGAGAAAAGAGGTAAATACCGTTCAGTTAACGCGTAATTTTTTCTCGTTGTCGCTTTTGTCTCGTTTTAGCTTGCTTCGAATCTGAGTTCTCTCACGGTTTTTCTGAGGTGTCATCGCATCATTAGTCAGGGATGCTAATTTCCTGTGACTCACATCCTATACGAACTCGAAAGGATTCATGATGTCGTCTGGGACGGGGGAAAACTTCACCATTTTTCGTCGTTATCAACGCGACAATGTTTTTTCATGTATTGCAATAACATTCCAAGATTGATATTTAGGCAACAATTATTTTATTCTTTGACGAGACATTTAGTATTGATACATTGATATATTTTAGGGTTATGGCTTTAAAATTCATTGCAAAATTACTTTTTTTTATTTAAATCGTACACAAAAAATTTCACACGATCAAGTTAAAAAAAATTGGGAACAAATTCTGAACAACAGTTTTGATTTCTATCACAGTCTCTCTATGGAAAGTAAAAGCTTCTGCAGGCGTTCTTCTACGTAGTATTTTTCTTTTATTATTTAAATACATATTAAAAGAGTAATATTTATATTAAATTATAAAATATATTATTTATATTATTAAAATATGTTTAATATTTTTCTGTGTGTTAAACTTAGAATACCTAGAGCTGTTTTGTTTAATATTTTTCTGTGTGTAAAACTTAGAATAAAGCTGTTTGGTTTAATATTTTTGATGTCACGTGTTGGACAGAGTGCAAGCAGATCGTAAGCGAGGGCGTACAGGTTCGTGTCACCGCCAGCTCGCACCTCTCCTGGAACCGCCGCAAGTCTTGTGAGCCTCACGAGGTCGCTCTGCTGTCGCACCGAGCCTGGTGCGCTAAGAGGAAGAAGAGTAAGGTTCATGGTCTGTCTTATGGATATGATTTATTTTTGTTTGTCTTGATATTAAGATATATTTTTGTGTGTCATGCTAATATGATATATTTTTGTTGTCATGCTAATATGATATACTTTGTTGTATATTTATATTATTAAAATATGTTTAATATTTTTCTGTGTGTAAAACTTAGAATAAAGCTTTTTGGTTTAATATTTTTCTATGTGTTAAACTTAGAATAAAGCTGATTGGTTTAATATTTTTCTGTATGTAAAACTTAGAATAAAGCTGTTTGGTTTAATATTTTTCTGTGTGTAAAACTTAGAATAATGATGTTTGGTTTAATACTTTTCTGTTTGTAAAAACTTAGAATAAAGCTGATTGGTTTAATATTTTTCTGTATGTAAAACTTAGAATAAAGCTGTTTGGTTTAATATTTTTCTGTGTGTAAAACTTAAAATAAAGCTGCTTGATTTAATGCTTTTCTGTTTGTAAAATATAGAATAAAGCTGTTTAGTTTAATATATTTGATGTCACGTGTTGGACAGAGTGCAAGCAGATCGTGAGCGAGGGCGTACAGGTTCGTGTCACCGCCAGCTCGCACCTCTCCTGGAACCGCCGCAAGTCTTGTGAGCCTCACGAGGTCGCTCTGCTGTCGCACCGAGCCTGGTGCGCTAAGAGGAAGAAGAGTAAGGTTCATGGTCTGTCTTATGGATATGATTTATTTTTGTTTGTCTTGATATTAAGATATATTTTTGTGTGTCATGCTAATATGATATATTTTTGTTGTCATGCTAATATGATATACTTTGTTGTGATGCTAATAGGATTTACTTTTGTTGTCATGCTAATAAGATATACTTTTTTTGTCATACTTACTTTTGTTGTCATGCTAATAAGATATACTTTTTTTGTCATACTAATATGAATTTACTTTTGTTGTCATGCTAATAAGATTTACTTTTGTTGTCATGCTAATAAGATATACTTTTTTGCCATGCTGATAAAATTTACTTTTCTTCGTCTTGCTAATTAGATATATTTTTGTTGTCATAAGATTTACTTATGTTCGTTGAACAGCTGCATATTTGTATTCATATTTCCATAGCAATTTTTTGTACGGTACAATTTATTTAGGTGTATTTATTAAATTTTGTGCACGATTATTATGGAAACCGAAAACTGCAGGTGTTAACTCCCAGCCTTACATCTCATTCTCCAGAACATCAATGGATCCAATGGGATCTCGGGCCCCCGCACAAGATCACAGGAATCATCACGAAAGGACGCGGGGACTCCCGCAGGAGGCACTGGGTGCAGTCCTACACACTCACCTACTCCAACGACACGGTCATCTGGTACACTTATAAAGACACCAACCACCTCGACGCCAAGGTAGTTTACCCGTCAAATACTCGCTGCCTCTTTCATGCAGAAATTACTGTGCTCTATATTGGTAATTAGCATAAAGTTTACAGTAACCCTCTTGATTTCGAAGGAAATAACTATTTCCCAACATGCTGAAAATCATTTAAAGGACTTTGACGTAGTTTATTCGTATTCTAAGCCTAATAAAGAAAAAAATTCGCATATAGAATAAGCGGAAGATATATGACTTTTTTGAAGTACGTTGGTTTTCCTCCACTTAACCTTATAACCGAAGCCATAATGGACAATGAAGCTTCATGCGGGACGAGGAAGATAAATTAACTTCATAGGTATTTTACAGCGCTCAATTTCTATGAAAAGTATTAATCCGAATTCTAATTATCAACAGCTATTCTTCTTTTTTTGGCTCTGCCAGTGTTCCAAATTGCTAACGAAATCTGATTGGTGACCATGCAAAGTGAAAGCAGTGATTGAGGTGTACGATGAAATTAAAAGAATTACCTTATTGGGCGAATTTATTTCAAGTAATATGTTGTCGTTGCATTGGAAAGCGTGCACATGGACGACTTAATGAGTGCGCGTCACTCTAGTCCCGTGGACGAATCTCGGCATCACTTGGTCTAAGACAGCGTTTAAGCTTCATTATCCGTTGATTTCATTGAGCGAGATCGTCCTAATGCAGCAAGTGCATTAGATCAGAACGAGAGAGCGTCTGCTGCCAACCTTCTGCCAAGCTTTAGCGCATTTCATGAATTTAAGCTTGAGTCGAGTTAATTGAGTGGAGATTCAATGCGGTCAAGCCCAAGAATGATGTTATGCCTAATGGTGCAGATGTGAAGGGGCAATGTTCGAAAGAAGGCGGCCGTCAAACCGATCTCGTTCGCAATCCGTGTCAAAAGGTAACCGAATACTTCTAAAATCTCTACACAAGTCAATAATCAAGCACATTCAGTTGCCACGAATAATTTTTTTCTCTTTTGCTGACGAGAACTGCTACCATTCATATCTTATACAATACATTCAAGTCACTTTTGCATCAAGCTAAATGTCAGCCGTATATGTAGAAGATAGCTCATTTAAGGCTCAAGATGAGTTGAATGATGTAGATAAAGACTCAAATTTTGTACGCAGCAACTTTTCGCTTTTGTTACACGTGGAAATTATTTCAGGATTTCTGATGCGTTTTGAGTTCTTTCGAAGCATTGAAATAACAATGATTCTCTCGTATTTATTTATAAAAAAAATTTAATTGTTTTGTGTCGGTGTGCTGGAAAAACATGTTGTGAGGGTCCGTTTTACCGTTTATTAGTCTCTTTAATGAGCTCTATATGCTCATACTTGTGAGTACAGTACTGCTATTAATGAATTCTAACCCTGAGCATATAGTCCTCATGAGGGCGACTGCGGCCAGAGGTTCTTCAGGGTGTCCCATGATACGCCATGTGGTGAGTGTCGTAATAATATACGGTGTATTATTTCTTGAGGAACTTATCTGAAATACAATATACTTCACATTAATTTATTTTATTGATTTATTTATTTGATACCTAATATTCTTCAGTTTTACGTAATTGCGTTCTGTTACATTATTTTACGGTAGCTTCTATAACATTGGCTACACAGTTTTTTTTTATTCAACGCAAGTTATGGATAGGTACTGTCGAATTAACAATATCTAAATTAGAAGCAGTATGATAGTTGTGCTTCAACAGGAGTAAAAGCAAACTTCTTTTATATAATGGGCACTCAAAATGTATACTCAATCACTGATTTAGATGTTAATACTTAAAAAAATAACTTATTGAATCGGCTTAAGCCAAGAGGCTGTTTTTCCGACCCAGATGTTGGGTTCGGCCATGTGGTTGCCTCCATAAGCGCCACGTGTTGCAATATTGAGCGCCGCGTCTCAATTCTTCATTTCTCGGGAGACTCGAGGCCTCGGCCTGGGGCATTAGTTTCACTGATGTTTGTTTTCAAGCTCTATCTGAAATTATGATGTCGATATGAGCCTTTCTTGATAATTATTTGAGCGAAGCAATTGTTGATTTGCATGTAACAGATTACCGAGGAATATATAATGGGACCATATAGTTTTTTGAATATTTTCTCATTGTTTTGTACAGCAAATGAGTAAAATGTTGAAAAATTGACTGGCACTCTTATATAGCACGACAGTTTCGTTTTTGCACAACATCATGTCGCTATTATTTCAATGAAACAACGGAAGAAACTATAAGGAATTATTAAATTCCTACTTTCAATTGTAAAACATGTTTAACCATGCACTAGCATAAACTGCAGAAGAAGTTATTTCGCTGTTTCTTAAGTTATTTTTAGAATGTTATCAAAGTGTGTTTTGATTCTCCGTGTAATATTTAATTCTGATGCGAATACCCTGCTCATGCATCAGTGGTATCTGCACGACGCGAGTTATCTAATTTATGTTCAGTGCGTCCGTCACTTCTGAGCGCGCACCGCATGCCTCTAGCTGCCTCTCGCCGCTTTCATGTGTCTGCGCTAAAAGTACCGGGATGCCATATGTATTATTTATTATTTTAGAAAAATATATTCATTCACTATTTCAGAAAATATATTCATTCGCTTTTTCATAAAATTATATTCATTCATTGATTCAGAAAAATATCAATGCTATAGAAGATACTGTTATACATTGTTTTCTTTGATCCGGGATTTCATCTCAGCGTGCGATATGTAAAACCTGATAAAATACCAGGTTCTTTATTTTTCGGAAGATAATCTTTAGTTTCACTAAAACTAGCTACTGACGATATTACTATTTGGTTATTGCTTATAATATATTATATAACTGCCAGGTATGTATAAACACGTCTCACGGCCGACGATGAGCCAGCGACAATTTTCATATAATCATTCACTAAACACCTATCTTGTTTGCATGCCTCTAGCAACCATCTTGTTTACACGCCTCAAGGAAACATCTTGTTTACATGCCTCAAGCAACCATCTTGTTTACATGCCTCAAGCAACCATCTTGTTTACATGCCTCAAGGTAACACCTTGTTTACATTCAGCTTTTCGTCAGCAGCAGTCGCTATTTATTCGTAGCTCACAGGCACTGCAGCCGCTGGACAAACATTCCATCGCGTCAATGCAAGCAAATTGTTTGCTGAGGGCGAGGCTTCTGTCAACTCCTTGCCGACCGAAGTGTGGGACTGCGCTGCAGAAGCTGGACTCGTGGGTGACAGCTCTGACACACATCGCATGTTCAGGCGACCAGCTATATAGAGTGACACGGCACTCGTGCATGTTCAGACGATCATCTAGAGTGACACGCAACCATTTAGAGTGAAACAGCACTTGTGCATGTTCAGACGACATCTAGAGTGACACGCCACTCGTGCATGTTCAGACGACCATCTAGAGTGACACGGCACTCGCGCATGTTCAGCCGACTATCTAGAGTGACGCGAAATCTGCCCATGTTCAGACGACCATTTAGAGTGAAACAGCACTCGCGCATGTTTGAACGACCATCTAGAGTGACACGACATTCGCGCATGTTCAGACGTCTCCGTCGTGCAAAAGAACTGTTCGCCTTGTAACATGAGCTAATCAGTCTCAGATCTGCTGCTACAACGATGCTGTGCAACACTCACTTTTCCTCGGCGTTCGCTTAACAAACGATTCCTTTAATGGGTAAGCGGAGCAATGTACCTCAAATATCGAGAGTAAACACACGACCAACGTGTCCAATGACGACCTTATAGCGGAACCTACTCAATACCTTGAAAATTTCATTAAAACGCCGAAGACTCAAATTGTAGCAGATCCAAACTTGCATCGGCTTAGGCAAAGATGCTGTTTATATTTTTAAGGAGGTTCGGTCTGGTCACGTGACTTCCTCCAAATGGCCACATCCTGTTACCGTAGAAGAATAATTTTATCAATCCATTAACATGGGATTAACTGGCTCAATATCCTTGATAGTTAATAGGCTTATTCATCGTTGTTGAAATATATATAAATTAATAGGGAAACGGTCCTGAAGTTAAAGACGTACGCCAAACATATGCATGCCTGAACTCACAATTATGTGGCAATTTGATGCTGATAACATTTTAGTACTTGAGTAATTTCAGTGAGGATATTTGAAGGTTAAATCTTGCCGTGACTGAGAATTTAATAAAATATCACTAAAAATCTCAAGTATGTCTTCATCGATCTTAGTGTTTAAAGGAATTAATTAATCTTGGAATATGCACGAACATTTGAAGTCAGGAACCAAGGATGCGTTGGGTAGTGGCGCATCCTATTCTATCCAAGCGTGGACGGACGGCAGGATGATTGATGAGACATGCACCACTCGTTTATTCTCAAGCCTCAGATCCTCCCTAATCCCATAATTTTAATAACTTACACGACTTTAACTTGTTTAAACTTTACGATAGAACATGAAATCAAAATAAAATCTTTATTTTAGTACATGACCATCGGTTCACGTTAGCGACTTCATTTTGAAAGGCATGCAGGCAAATTAATGTGACAAATATTTTCTTTATGCAGTAGTATTAGCAATGTTGACGACTGCTTTAACAGAGATTATTCCCTATACGCACAATCTCGAGCAGTGCGTTAACTCTTGTTAACGTACCGTTCACTGCTGCTTCCGATGGACGACGTCTTGCAAGAAACGTTAATAAATAAGTAAGCACAAACTCTTGCTACACTTATCCATGCTTTCCCATTATTCGGCTTTTTAAGTTGCGGTGATTGAACACATGTGCATAAATTACTTAGTGTTATTGCGACTTTTTCCGGCAGCCTATCGCTGTTACATGGCTATTTAATAAATGAGTTTAAGAATACTTCTACCTGATCAATAGCACAGTTACGATGAATGTATAAAAAACAGTAAAATTTATTATACATTCATGAGTCGAATTCAAACCGTCGAGCAATTTCTATATGTTGTTTTCGTACCTAGATCTAATGGAATAAATTAATTTTTTGAACCGAGTTCCATTACATCGCATGTTCAAAGAATGACCAGATGCTAGCCGAACTCATACCACTCTCTATGTGTGGCATGACGTCTCGTAATGCACACACAGCTCTGCCTAAAATGCTCCGTTGCAAATCCTCTACGTTCACTTGTTAGAGAGGGACAGTAATGGAAGATCCGGACAGATTACATTTGATAAGATCTTAGCTTCAATACGAATTATTGTGCTGTCTAAGCGTGCTTTGTGCAGGGCGATATTTGTAAGTATAAACAGCAGGAGTAACATGCTTAGCCTGGCGCCACGATGTCGGGTATCTCTGCATGACTTGCATCGGAGGGCCTCAAGCGTGAGCTCAGAGCTCTCCCTCTGTTTGCTCTCTCCTTATTCTCGAGGATAAAATCCGCAAACGTTGAGACATTTGAGAGGCAATGCACAGGCTAATTCAGTGCATTAGCGAGCTTAGAGCACATGCTCCCGGAGTGCCAAGTTCTTGCCCCGAGTTTGCTGCTGATGACAAGTGTTTAGGACACGCGAGTTTAATTTTTATAAACTACGTCATGTTTGTTAGTTAAATTAGTAATATTTTATTGTAACTTTCACCAACTTGACAGTCTCATAGAATAAAATAGACAATATTGTTGGTATTTGATGTTTTCAAGTGATTACTAATTTATGATACTTGAATGATTCCGACTTATTATGAATATGAAGACTTCGACCGTGAGCATGATGGGACTGACATCCATATTCTCCGAGGCGCGACCAAAATGCCTACTATATTGTAATTAAAGAGAGCATAATTGTCACTTTGTTGATACTCACAGCATCGAGAAGAGAAAGTAAGAAATCTAATTAGCGATTGGACGCTTGTCTTGCCATTAAGTTACTCTTTTGGGAGCATCAAGGCAGACCATTTGGCACGAATAATTTCGTTCAAATTGTCGTGAGGGGGAAGGGAGGGAGGGGAAAGGAAATATATTGAATATTTTTCTGGGAGTATTTCTGTTAAATGTCTTAATATTTATTCCAGTGTAATACGTTAAATACTAGAAACCCTGATGACACGAATTAATAATTCCATAGATAAGGTTGTGCACTCTATCGTGAACATATTTGCATTCTATATCGGCAAACACTGAAATAGCAACGTAAACGTTTGCATTTAATGCACTATTTTATTCATTTTTTTATTCTCATTTAAAGTTGTGCTATCTGAAGTCTGAAGCGGAAAACGCTCCTGCTGGTTACTTCCGTACAGATAAGCGTAACAATAAAATGGGCATCAAATTTTGATATCGACTGATGAATTGAATAAATTTCCTCAACCCCGACCTATGACGACAGCATTGACACTTTGACAGAGCATTTCCTTATCTTCATTAAATAAGTTTGCGTGGCATAGTCACAGCGCCTGCCACACTTGATACCTCGTAAGTCAATGCATTGAATAGCCTCTGAAGGATCCCTTATAGACTCTCTCTGTCATGCCCAATATAAGATCTCTTACACACACCATCGCGGTGCACTGCTTTGCACGTGATCCTCTATAATTGCTGGTATAAGTAAGAGATGATATTAGGGATTACACCAGCCAACTTTTCAAACTGATTAACCTAATTATTTGACTGTCTTAAGTAGTGGCCCTAATCTTTTGTCGGTCGATATCGATTAAGTGCAAAATATTGACGTGATGCCGTAGGATGACCCAAAGGCCAACAGTGCCCAAGTATTCCGCTATAGCCGCTACACATATGATGTTTGGCCGCCGTTACATCTTTCGCAAAGATTGTTAGTGTTCCAAAAACCAAATGCAAATCTGTTGCCTTCGTCCAGCACAAAGCCCAGCAGTAGCAGAACATCTTATAAAATCGACANCAGAACATCTTCTAAAATCGACATGCTAGAGATGAAGGTCTATGACGAGTCTTTCTTTCGAGGAATAATATTTACATCGAGGAAAGAACGACAATATACGAGGGCATCATGGTGAGGTCACCCTCTTTTCCACTGAACTTAACGAGGCACTGGGCAGTTGTTGGCCGATGACTGAATGTTGGAAATGGTTGCTATATTCCATGTTACTCTCGTACAAGCGTCTACTCGTACATTTACCGGCATGGAATGCTTCATAAAACTGTTCTTTCTGTTGTTTAATATTCAAGAACTTTTATTGCGCGCGCATTAAATGAAGAGGTTTCGAGAATCTAAACAATTTTTGTCTTCTTATTTTGGAAGGTGGAAAACTTTGTAGGAGATAGCATTGTATTATATTTTTGCATGTTTGTTATTTTCCGCTACGTAATATCAATTGTTTCTCGTATACGTTTATCATTGAAGTGTAGAAGATAATAGCAAAGCGCCTCGCGAAAAATTGCTAGAAAGTATAGATTGAAATGATTGTTGATAATTTTCATAATTGAAGATTGAATTTATTTATGCATTTTTAAGCTGGCTAAGATTTAAATTTTACCGTTAGGCGATAAAATCACCTCACCTCTAATCAAATCACACAACAAATCACATCAACATATCATATCAATTATCAACAACATTCAAATCAAACGACAACAACAATCGATTGCTTAGTCAATACAAACTTATTTTCAATAATTAAGTCAGGCAGAGGCCTGCGATACATTTTACCCCCCTCAAAAAATATTGACATGTGTTGCCTACATGCAACAATGAAAATTGATTACTAATAACGAGATTTTCGACGTCGTTGTCTTCCGTCGCTCGAACGCATCTGTTGCTCGACCGTCGACGACACGAAAATGAACTCAATCGTACCAATTTTACGCGTGTGCTGTCAATCCCCATCAGCGCTAGACTGCCGTCAGAATAAAAGTCTCGCATATGTAGCGTTTGCCAGGCTCATTTACCATTGCTGCTGCTGCCAGCAAACCTGTGGCCATACTTTCAAAACTCGCTAAGTGAACGTAAGTACTTACGCTATATTTTCTTGTCTATGATTGGTGGATTTTGATTGAAAGGCCGTCAATGATTGCCTGATGAACTTACGATCTCCTAACTTTTTTTGAAAGTATAGGCCCTGCTCTTCTGGTGTAGCTTGTATTGAGGCGAGAGGAAGATCGAGGAACTTGTCAATATTGCCTCGGCTCTGACATCTGCCTGATTATCTTTTAACAATGTATCTTTTAACCTCGGACTCGGCATTTGTTTGTTTAGAGAAGTTTGTTATCAACTACTTAAAGAATTAAACGCTCACATTTTACAAATTACAATCAATAGTTATTAGTACAGAAGTACTTATCCTGAAATCGGTCATGGGAGACGAATTGTCACCACGTCATTCCGGTGTATAAAGTTTCATAACCAATAATTAAACGATATTATATTGGTCAATTTCCGTAAATCTAGGTGTTATTCTCTGTTAACATAGTACTAATCCAGCTCTAATCCCTCGAAAAATACACCTAACTCTTATATGCATTGCTTGATAAGGCAAGAATAAAATGTATGGACTGAAATTATCATTTACGCTAAGTTTGTTGATAGAAATTAAGGTCGGGGAAACCACGCGCATTTCATATAGATCAAATATATAGTATTCAAATCAAAACACCAGCGTTTTCTACAGGTTAAATTAAACAGTATTTAAATAGTAATTGAGCTTTTAGCCTCTCAGTGCCTCTATTTGGTACTCGACTATTCTCTACCGGCGGACTCTCTCTAAGGTCCTCCACTAACTTGCCTAATTTCTTCAATTAGCTGAAAAATTCTTTGTAACTTTGGTCAAAGGAAATCAGTGATGCGGCCGTCGGGAAAATGGCTACAGAGTTAAACTTTTCTTGGAGAATACCTTTCAGTAACATTACCATCTAGGTAATAAGGTAATAGGAATAGGGTTGGACTTAGGAGAGTACATTTCAGTTACATTACTATCTAGGTAATAGGAATATAGGGTTGGACTTAGGAGAATACATTTCAGTTACATTACTATCTAGGAAATCTGAATAGGATTAAACTTAGTAAAATACCTTTCAGTAACGTAACCTTCAAGTAATGGGTATAAGGTTAGACTGTGGAGAATACCTTCAAGTAACGCTATGTTGGAGGTAATAGAAATATGATTATAGACTTTGGTGAACATATTTTTCAAAATCGAGTGCGAAATCTATTCCTAGCTCTCATGTAAATGAGAGCTTGTAAATTTTTAATCGTATATCCTCATAGAATACTGATTAATTTTTGCTAATTAGAACATATTTTTTAACCCTACTGATTCGAGTTGTTCCCCGCAAATCTCATGACCTTATACACACGGAGCATTCAACGATGTTTCTCATTCTATTGGCATTTTCAAGGATGATTCTATATTGACTGCATTGCAGTAATATGAAAGTTTTTCTCTTGATTTTATCAATTTTTTTTGTAAATGATCAAATAACGCAGTTATCAATACCTATAGTCTATAACTCGAAATGTCATTTTAAACTCAACTTCTCATAAAGAGAAGTTGCAATTTGACGCAGTCTAGGGTAAATCTTTTATCATTATTCAGAGTCCGTGTGGATGTCTATGTGTGCATTAGGGTATATATGTATCTTATAGGAGCTATTTGGACTCGTATTTGCGATACCTACAGTGTCGGGATGTTACCTTGACCTCAAAATTTATCCTAAGAAGGAGTACCTCCGAGTATGAACATCTTCAAAAACAGACTAGACGAAGCTAAGCAGGAGCATATGTTCAGTCTTAAAAGGCCAAGCAAATTACGGACCAGGCAATAAGTTCAGCAGCTATCTCAATCAATCGTCAGCTATGGAAAGATCGGGTTCCAAAGGCCGGATCCCTTGTGAATCAAGTCACGAAAAATTCAAGAATCGGCAACAGGCCATTGGCCTACTTCTTCAGTGCCGACTTCTATTCTATTCTATTCTTTTCTATTCTATTCTATATTTCTCCCTTTCTGAGGGAGATATAGTAACTTAGTAAGGCATTGCATAACTGATAGTGATAAGGGAGGGTTGAAGCAAAATAGAATTTTGTTCGTTAATTGATTGTGATGTGATATGCAAATAAGAAGTTTTTCACCATTTGTACAGGAAGTCAAATGGTAAATCTGTGTTCAACGAGTAATGTGTGAGTTTAAACGGATCTTTATTCAGTTAGCATACGAAAGTTTTGTTGTAATTAATAATTCTAAATCAAGATAGCTGTTGATACCGAGCCTCGGCAGGGCTAACTATACAACACTTCGTCAATATAAGAAAGGGCAACATTTGAATATGAAAACGATATTTTCAGGAAAAGAAGTCATCTAATGCATAAACTTATAATTGATCTAACTTATGGAACGTTTACAGATAATACTAGAAAATTTTGTAACACAAAATATCTCAATTTCATACTCAGTTGAGAACCTGGCGTGGTCTGGTCGTACGTGGGTGAACGACATCCGACACCAGTGGTCTGGCTGGCACTACGGACGGGCAGGTCTTGCCGTGGACGGTTCCTTGAACACGTCCCTACCGCGCTGCGCCGTCCTCGACAACTTCAGCGTCGACGAGCCCGTGTGGATGGTCGACCTCGGGACCAGGGAGGATGTGAAGGGGCTCGTCATCGTCACGTGGCAGGGAGATGGTCAAGGTGGGTGAGCCAAGTGGGTTGCGACAACGTATTGTAGCGTCGCCTTTACAGGTGTGTTTTGAAGGTCGCCAGTGCAAACGGATTTTTTGAGTGAAAGTGAACGAAATTTTTAGCATCATTCCTTGATTGTGCATCGTAATGAGATAAGATGAAGATTATATATTTACCGAATTTTCTGTACAAGAAAATGTACCAAAAAATTTTAGTGGAAACACGGAATTTAGGGAGCATGTGGTATATTGCGTATAATGGATATTAATTCCGACCCATTACTGACTCGATGTGCTGAGTAGTCGGTTCATAATCAAGTAAAACAGATTGTAGGCCAAACAAACATTTTTAATTATAGTTCAACATGTTGATAATAATTAAAAAGAAAACATTGTCAGCATTAAAGTTAATTAATTAAATATAAAACATTGTTACTGAATAGCTTTCAGTTACGCAACCATTGAAGTATTGCGTAAAAGGTCAGACATTTGGATGCCTTTCAGTTACGTTAGTAACTGAAGTGGGGTTATGGATATAAAATTAGACATTGAAGAATACATTTTTTCTAAATCGAGTGTTAAATCCGTCTCAGACAACCAAACACTGTACCGAGACTACGTGTTCGGGCTGGATAAACTGAGCGCGTACGTGGAGCTGCGGCCGCGGCTCTCAGAGATCTCAGAGAAGCGCGAGTGCGGCACCGTGACGAGGCTCAACAACGCTGTATTTTTGTAAGCGCCACGATTAGAATTGCTTTATATCAATCTTTTGAGACTGATTTGAAATTATGAGCTATTGGTAATTAATATTATCTTTTTTATAATTAGAAGCCAGAACAATAGTAGATTCTGAAATATTGAAAACCTAATTATTGAATGTTGAGAAAGCTTACTGCAGTCAAACATGATGTGTTTTAGTCAGACTGAAATAATAATATTGCTTAAAATATGTTTTGAACGAGATTTATTTGTTCTTTTGTAGGGAGCGAGTGCACATTGAATGTCCTCAACCAATAAGAGGTCGCTACGTGTACCTCAAAGGCACAGGAGTAGCCAACCGTTGGCACAGACTTTTTTCCATAGTGTTATGCGAAGTGCTTGTTTACTAAACTTCTACGTGATAACATAACAACAGAGAGACAATAAATATACCCAGCCAGTGAAAGTGTATTGTGCAGAATAGTAACTTCACGTAAAAATACAAACTGAAACATATGCCCCATATCGTTCTTGGTGCATAGATTTAAGGAGAAGGTTTCAACAATTACACCGAATTTAAGTTTTAAATGGTCGTTTAACAGCTAACAAAATTATAGCAGTGCCGATGAAAAATAATCTGTGTCGTATTAAGCAAGTAATTACAAAAAAAAATATCTTTTTTTTCAAGGCTTAAGCAGAAAGTTTCTTCAGGCGCGCGAAAAATATAGTTATCCCTGGAGTGCGAGAAACCAAAAATTTCTTCTGCAATATTTCTATTTTTGTTTATTCAGAAATAACTTCGTGACTCATTCAAATGAGATATCATTTATTGTATTGACTGCTGTTATACAGGAATATCCAAGTTAGGCCAAGTGAATCTATAAAATTGCTCGCATTTTAAAACGCAAGATAACATGGATAACATATAATTCAACGATTTTCAAGTGCAAATGTATTCATTGCTCTCTGAACCATAAATGAATTTTCAAAGCATACAAGTATTATTTTACTTGAACTGCAATTATGACTACGAGTTTTTAGTGCCAATTATCTACCTAAAATATCGCTCTCTATTTCCACTGAAGAATCTCCTTCCCCGTCATATATTTACAAATTAATTACTGAGCCAATTTCCGTGTGCTTTGACTTTGATACTTAGATGTATTTTACTGATGTGTGTACTGTAAAGGAGAAAATAATATTAGTGATGTCCCCCCAATGTTCCGTGCTATGCAGTTTGGTGCTACAGTGAAATCAGTGGTAACGTAATACGTGTTGTAATTTTCCTTATCGTTGTAAGCATTAAAGTGTTACTTTAGTTTCTATCTTAGATATTATTTTGAGTCCATCTTTACTTATTTACTTCAATATACGTAAGCTGATACAGATAAGTTTTATTTCAAGACATTTCATTTCATAGCCATTGCCACGCCAAATGAACTTAACAGACCTTCACATTTAGCAGTACTTAATTTAAAATTATTAATGTTTCCGTCATCAGGAAACATTTTCAAAACTCTATAGTGTGTAGGTAATTATTGCGTCTATTTTGTTTCTTTTTAACATTTCATTGTACTTTTACCTCCAATGTTTTTTCATAGCCAAAACTTGAATTGTGCACTATGCTGGTTGTGCGAAAATAGCTGCAGCATTCGGAAATAATGAGAAATTTTTTGAAATAACCTCAAATTATTATAGAATACATTCACTTACGGGTTCCGTGCGAAGCATTCATCGGTTAACGTAATTTGGGCGCCTAAAGTTTGCGGTAAAATTTTTATAGTTCAAATATTATTAAGTTGTTTTCAAGCAGTTAAAAAATAGAAGATAAAAACAGAATATAATTCTGTTCATCTGGAAGTTTTTCCATTTGTCGTTGGCATCGCGTTCGTGGTTCTAAACATTGACGTCTGTTCAACTCAGTGACTTTAAGTAAAAGTTGACTCTTAGCCTCTTCAATGTCAGGGCAAAAATTATCAGAATAATTAATTCAGAGAAGGGTTATCGCGCATTATAAATATTAACAGTTGTAGTATTTTCAAGCCCATTTTACTTCGAGAAAATACTATTCATTCTAACTGCATCAAAAACCGCAATCGCAAGTGTTCAAACTTTGGAAGCATTAATCGTTATTTGCGAATGCAATATTTATCAAGACATCATTCTTAAAATCTAATATTAACCAAAAGTATAGTACCAATGCATATGTTATTTCTGAGAGATCTCCGGTGCCTCAATGTCTTCATTCCTTCAATCCATCACAAATGTTTGCAATATTGTACATAGCGAATAGCATTAGAGCTGTCGTAGAGGGGCTTCCAACATATCGTATATGATATATAGAACAGTTCCTTATATCAGCAAGCTATAATTATGTCGTATTCTTAAATGTAAGTGCATTAAAGCTTGGACTTTTTCTATAGCATTGTTTTATTTTACAAGCAGCCGTCAAAAGAGCTTATTGATTGAATACCAACAAGATGAATTTTATTAAAAATGAAAATTGTGCGAGAAAAAACGAGAAGCCGTGAAAAATTCGCAGCTTGTGATGCAGATGCGGAGCACGTGTGCCTTCAAACTTATTATTATATGGACGCCTATAAATCAAGCTGATGAATATCAAATTTTTTATGCCTTACTACGTCTAGGTTAATTTTTTCACAGCAGTCAGATTAATAAAAGTTTTGTTCAGAAATTTGCGCGAACTACAAGAAACTATTGATTCACTGAAAAAATAGCTACCATTCCTAATCACGTGATACACAATACTTTATTTATGTCACTTATGGGTATGTCATTTGTGGGTATATGAAGGGAAGGTTCAATAATTTTATTGTGTTATTTCTACCCCTCACAAGTCGTCTGAAGTTTGACATGAATGCTGAAGTGGCGCCCGACTGAGGCTGCATTGCACGCGTGGCTTACGTCATTCCTTTGTGTGACCACCGCCAGGGGAGCGCCAGCCTTACCATTGGGGGTACTTTGTTGTTTCTATAGGAACTGATGATAATATTTATTTCTTTTCATTGCAGTATCAACAATGAAACAACATCAGCAACAGATTGTACATGGACAAATTTTGAACCACGGTACCAATGGGAATGTTCGTTTATGAAACTATAAATGATACTCATATTGTGTCATTGTATTATTTAAATGCCATTGTTTCCTTTTACCATGAATACAAGTTACAAATGATATCTGTCCTGCGAGAACAAAGTCAAATATATCTATTGAGACTTCCCATGAAACAGCTCCTGACTCAGAGTAACCTTTAATATAGATAAATATCAAGCATATTTGTTCCTCTTTATTCAGAGGCTACTATCAATCAAGTACTTTCTCCACTCCGATAAGTACACCTCGCATCTTATCGTTCCGAACAGAGCGCGGTCGTCATTATTCATGTGTCGCTTATATGGCTGCTTGTAGGTCATAGCTTAGTGTACAAAAGAAAAAAAATGCATTCAGCAGCAGGCGACTTGCAGATAGCCCATCTCATCACCAGATGTGATCGACTGCACCCAACCTACATGAACCTACATCCAACCTACATGATCGACTGCATCCAACCTATACGAAAACAGTAATAAGCAACTCATAAATATCTTAGAAATGTAGTATGTTATTATTTTATTTTATTTGATGACCGATACTTTTTTTCTTAGTTACGTCAGGAAGTGTTGCATTCCAGGAATTCCTCGGTGGCTTTCATTCTTTTATGAATTGGCCACGACAACATAAGTATAGAAAAGAATTAAAATTTAAGACAGGTACATATAATTTTAAACTTGGAACTAGATACACAGCCTTTACTTACAAAAACACTGCTTCAGAAAAAAAGTGATCCAAACACAATCAGAGTTGAAAATCTGTCCCTCCACATCCCTTAATTTGACTCTCACTTCACATGTCAACGTTTGCGGAGCTATCATGCAGCAGGTCGTACTTGCGTGACGGTTGCAACAGAAGAATAACTTTGGTGAAAAATTTGCATCCTTATATAGCCGTCACCTCGCACACTTTACAAAAATTACCCCTGTCATTTGGTCGAGCCATATCCTGCTTCTATATAATTGCTCATCGACTTTCGACTCGCAACTTCACAATCGCACAATCTATGTTTAATTAATATCATAGTAATGAGTAAAGTTTGAAAAACTTTTCATATTCATTTTGTCCGTCTCGTCGCCAGGTATTTAGTGGAATATATTTGTTAATTATTTCAGCGCGAACTCGCACGTCTATATGATAGGCAATAACCAACACGCAAGCCAACGACTTAATCAAAACTTCAATAAATATGGTTGGCTAAAAAGTTTATTCATTCAAAAATTTTAACAAAATAACTTTAAAATTGTATAACTTGTCCCACTATACCTTTATAAAAAAGTTTTGTACAGAAAAGAATGTTTGTCAACAATTCCGTTTCAGAATTTTGTGGTTGCTCATTTCTGTGCATGATATACCACGTACAACAGTTGAATTCAGTGTCCCTCCATGTGTCTTGAAGCAGAAATTAGAGTTCTACGTCCTTATTAGGTTGCAGTAGAAAGCGTTCGTAATGAGCTATAGATAGTAGTGATGAATTAATTAAGTTTTTATTTTCGTCCCATATGAGCGCAGGCGAGTAAAACCTCCCAAATTCAAAGCTCAATCAATTTTATGATTCATTTGTCTGGAAAAAAGCGGCCTAAAATTGGGTCCAGTGGTCGCACAAGCCGTCAGATGAGAAGAATTAGTACAACGTTAAACGCGACCGCCTGCAGAGCTCAGAACTTCTCCAATCAAAATTAAAGACTTCTCATTTACGCGGAGGGGCGAACGTGAATGGCATTCATTGAACGCGGAACGCGGCGGTCGGGCGGGCTAAGCTTGTACCCAAAATGAGGCTTCCTTCAATTGTATGACACGCATAGCGGGACGATAAATAATATCTCTGCAGCGCAAGCTGTTCCTATTTACAGCAAGTGCATATGGGCAGAGGGGCGGCCGCACAAGCTGAGGTAACATCGCTAATAAATCATAGTTATTGAGCTCGATCAAGGACATGAAAATTAATACATCAACTGCATAGTTCTTGAGGTAAGTTTTGAAGCTCTTGCTTCAAGATAATTAAGCATGATTATGAGTTCTGTAAACGCAGGTCGTGAAAGAAGATTTCGCCTATTTAACTCATCGGGCCAATAATTACCGGGCAGATCAAGAAGGTTCCCTATTTACTGCGGATTGTTTTTCACAAAATAATGTTGAGACTCGTTCGTTTTTTTTCCCGGTGAAATGCCTTAAACCGAAGCTTCATGAGCATTTCCGAATTTAGTTGACACAGGGAAAATGGTCTGGACGTCTTGTTATTTAAAGGAATTGTCGTTGGCTGGAATGCAATTAAAGAATTTTATTTATTATGTATAATAATCAGTCATGCTTGAGGAGAAAAGTAGTTCTTTCTTTTATCATGATCATGATAATCAAGTTTTGAATTAAACAAATGAAACTTTAGCTTTGATTCTCTAGTAAAATTTATAAATATGTTTTCGCGCCAATAAGGATTTATACATAATCCAGTTTTCAAGGGTACGGAACTTCGCTACGCTACTCTATCATTTACAGTAGCCGTTTGTAAAAAGTTATGTGACCATCATCATGCTAGGTGACTGAAAGTTATCCTCAATGATGGATTAAAAATAAACCATGAGGTTAACTCAGATCATTCATGTTTTGTTCATCATCTATCCATGTCTTGTCCATCATGTATTCATGTCGTGTCCAGCATGCATCCATGTCATGTCCATCATGCATCCATGTCTAGTCCAAAATGCATCCATGTTTTGTCCATCATGCATCCATGTCATGTCCATCATGCATCCATGTCATGTCCATCATGCATTCATGACTTGTCCAACATGCATCCAGCTCGTGTCCATAATGCATCCCTGTCATGTCCACCGTGCATCCATGTTATGTCCACCGTGCATCCACGTCACGTCCATCAAGCATTCAAGACTTGTCCATCATGTATCTCTGTCATGTCCATCATGCATTCATGACTTGTCGAGGTTACATTCTTGTTCTATAGGTCTGAACAAGAATGCAAATCTCGAGCTTCATTTTATGTACCTGCATGAAGTTACATGCCGAGTTTAAAATGACAAAAAATTTCCCTGGCGCCAGCGATGGCGCGCGTGAGAGAAGCAATGGTTTTTAGCGCATTTTATCATTTATGAAAAAAATTCACTATTGTGCTCGCCATGTCCGTCTGTCTGTCTGTCTGTCTGTCTGTCTGTCTGTCTGTCTGTCTGTCTGTCCGTCTGTCCGTCCGTGACCTCAAGTTTTCGTCGACGAGAAAATGCGCTCTCTGTCACTCACGGAGTGAGTACTGAGTCACATTTTTTTATAAAAGAGTGCACAAGTTGCGCTTTTTCCAGCATGAACAATGTCGACACAAACACGCTGAAATCCGACTAATTGCGACATACTTACAGCATATTAGCAAAGTCATTCTTTAAAATATTAACTTTGATAATTTTTCTTATGTAATAATGTATAATTTTTTCTTAATTTTAACTGGTCAGCACGTAAATTTTATTTATATTTATTTGACTGTCACTAGTTACGTATATCACACAAAAAACATCTTGAATAACGTATTTTTTTAATTGAGTATTTATTCGTGTAAAAATGAAAAATGAACAAAATCGAAACCGACGTGCATCCCTCACAAACAGCTAGCGAGCATTTTTCATACTCATATCTTTTTGAATATCTATTTTTTCCAGTTCTAAAAATTTGCGTACTGCAAGGTATCGACAACCCAATTATAAATTTTCCTATAATGATTGGACCTTCGTATTTGTGTCACCAGGATTTATAACCTAGGGCTGTAGTGCTATGGAGGCAATATTTGTATGAACCACCACCAGCTGCCGTAGTCAGTCACTGCTATAGTCAAAGGCAGCTATGATTTGTAGACCTTCACCTTAAATATACAAGGGATATTCAAACGCCTATCCGCAATGCCTATCATGTCGGTCGTGACGGAATGTCATTTTTAGTTTAAATTTAGTTTGAAAAATATACCGAAAGCAGGGAAATGACTCCATAAAAGGGTTGGAACCAGAACCTGAGTCTCAAATCTCAGTACTATCTATCAAGGTCAGCATTGTGTTGACATTCTATACTAATGGTATAACTGAAGAAACTGCAACAGCTAAAAAAACTATCAAATTATATTATTGAAGAAAATTTTCTTTCAATTTAATTCCAAGTTTGTTGCAGTAGAGACAAACATAGACATTATTGTAGCTGCGCAGTTCCGCAGTCATTTTTGTAAACCAGTGATCCGCTGATTACTTGCGGACTGGGTCGGATTTAGTACGGGTTTCTCTTTTGTAACCGGACCGCGTAGCAGAGGGGTTGTCCC